TTGTTGAGGTGGAAACATTATTCAGGAACCTGTGTTTCTGGCCCCAGTGTGAGCATGCTGTTAACATAGATGCTGTCTCCTATTTTAGATATTGGAAATGGGGTCCAGATCCTCAGAAAGGCAAATTAATTGATAAAAATTTCCTATAGACCTAGTTCCAACAATTGCAGAGATTTGCATTAACATTAGGAGCTTGGGCTACAGAAATAATTATTTTCTTGCTATCTATTTTTGCTACATGATTTAAGGGACAATCTGTTAGAAACCAGCACATCTATAGAAACTGCTTGGTTCACCAGCTAATAAAAATGTTTAAGTGTAATAATGACAAAGCAAGCATAACTGATATCATCTTGACATTTGCAAAGCCCAGGTGGATTAGATAATAATGGTTTGCTATTTGCCTTGCATCAGCAGCTGAAGTAGGTTCCATGCTCCTGTTTATACCAAAGAAACAGGGCATCACAAAAAACCACATGTCCACTTACCTATGCTGCTGTATAAAGCCAGACAATATCTGGCCCTGCAGCCATTAATGTAAGATATTATGAGTTAAGAAACTAATGATGGATTGATGCATTCCAACAGCTGAGATCTTCTGGCAGCCTTTTTAGGTCAGCTTTCTACTCTCATTCTTTCTTGAAGTATGTTTTTGGGCCCTGGTGGGTGTTAACTGCCCACATGCCAGGCTCTTCTGACTAACCTTGCTGCAGACAGCAACAAAAGCCATCCTCCAAATATAAATGCTTGTCAAACTGTACATCCACTGGCTCAAAAGGAGAGCTTTGCAAATGAAGCACTGGGGTCGGAGTAACCAAACCAATCTAAAAGTGGTTTCAGCACAAATTCAGACCCTTTGCTGCACCAGAAGGGTGGAATAAATCACATAGTGTGTCTGTTAGTTCATTTATTACAGCTGCTATGCAGAAACTTATTGCCTCCCAGAAACAGTATTTGTGCATAGTGTAGGATGACAGAAAAATGCCAGAAGTTCTTTATACAAAGCTTTCTCTCCTCTTAGAAAAGCATCCTTCCCTTATCAAGTTTGCCCTGTATGAGGATCTTAAGGTAGTGGGATGTGCATAAAGACCCAAACTTTAATGACATTAGCTCCTCAGCTGTAACTTCCTGTGTCTGTCTGGCCACACCTGAGCTGAACAAGATATTCCAGGGCACAAGAGGCACTGGAAACAGGGTGGCTGGGTCAGCCAGGCTGCTGCCTCTTCCCCTGGCTGCTCTGCAAAGGCAGCCCAACGCAGCACCACACCACACACTGCTACAGGCCAGGGGAAGCACCAGTGCTTGAGCTTGCCTCACCCCCTCTGAAGGCAAAGCTTTAGTGGGATTTAAGCCTTGTCCTGAAGACCCTGGGTATCATCACAGGGAATACATGCATGAAAGATTTTGGCAGAGACAAGTGGCAGAGAGACAAAATGGGTAGCAAGCATGACTACTAGCTCACTTTTGAAAGGAAACCACAAGCCTGCAGGTGGCAATACCTGATGATAGTGTAATGTAGCACTGACTACTAGACATCTTCCTCTACATGCTATGGAGTTACCCTTTGCTCCAAACAGGCCCTGAGGGCTCCTGAGGTCTTCTCCTGAGCTTGCTCCTCCAGGATAAATGCCCTCATCACTGCTCAACTCAGACAGCAACCTTGGTCCTGGAAATGCCATCAAAGCTGCCATACTTCTGTGCTGGTGCCAGGTTTTGCAAGGAGAAAAAGAAGCCAGGAAGTTTTATTTTCATAAATGTGACTCAGGATTGCCGAGAGTCAAGATTCCAAAAGCAGTTTCGGCTATGTGTGTGCTTGCTTCAGCTGTGAGACTTGGTTTATATTTTCATTAATGCCTTCAGAGACTGAGCCAAGCTGCAGTCAGCCTTTTCCCTCAAGCTTGTTCTCACAAAGCCTGATCAAAAACCAAAATTTCTGTCTGGAAAGTGGAAATCTATTGTAAAAAGCATTAACCAAGCAAAACTGAAAATGCTGTGCCCACTAGTTAAGAAAATTAATCCACAGCATAATGAACAGAAGAAAATCAAATCTTTTCTAAATGGACAGGATGCTTTAAAGGTTTTGGTGGATCAGTCAGGAAAGTGTTTTTCAGATGGTAGGGAGAATTCTGATCATTAAAGAAGTGTCTGGAGAGCTGACAACTTCCTTACAGAAATAAGAGCTCAGAAATGTTTCTAGGTACCTTTGGCAGATTTAAAATAGATCAGGGAGGTTTAAGTTGGACATTAGAGAAAATTTCTTCACAGAAATGGTGTTTGGGCATTGGAATGGGCTGCCCAGGGAGGTGGTAGAGTCACCGTCCCTGGAGGTGTTTAAGAAAAGATTGGACATGTGACACTCAGTGCCATGGTCTGGTTGACATGGTGGTGTTGGGTTATAGGTTGGACTTTATAATCTCAAAGGTCTGTTCCAACCTAATTGATTCTGTGATTCTGTAAAAGAGAACTAACAAATGTTCATCGGGGCCTCTGTTTCTGTTCCCAGTTTGGAAGTAACTGAAAGAAAAATAAATTGCTCTGAGCAAAGTGTAGACCTAAGAAAACACTACCGAATGAAGCAGAAAAGCAAATCCATCCAGAATATATGAAGATTAGCCCCATCTGCATCCAAATTCATCTGCCACAAATTCTGTATAAAGATGACACAAAATTGTAAATTCCTACCCTCCCTGATGTTTGGAACATTGTGTTTCTCATTAAAAGTAATTTGGTAAAAACGGTTCAATTTCTTGCCTTTTATTTTTTTAAACTTTCAAAATCTTGCCTGAATAATACATATTTTGTCAGAACTTTGGCATCTCATGTTTCCAAAGCATGGCATAGTTTTAGCCATGTTTTTAGTTTTTAGGAAAACAAGAGCCAAAGGTGATTTGATGAGTTGTGCTGCATTCACTCATTACAGTCACTAGTACCAAGGGACAAGGCCCAGTGGAACAGGAACTGATCTACAACAGCTGACTCAGCTCCATGGTGGGGAAAAAAATATTTGGTCTGCTTTATATATGCAGCCTAATTCCAAATGACATTTCACCTTGTAATGTTTCACACACAGGCAAAAGCGAGAACTGTTAGTAAACACTTCAAGTTTTAAGAAAAGGCTCCCTACAGTTCAAAAGTTTGTTACATCTTTCTGACTAATTTTATGACATAAAGAGGTAATTCTAACAATTTTAAAATGTTTCAGGAAGCAACATATGGTATGCATGCGATATATGCTGTGACAAAATTCAAGGTTGCAAGTGTCAAATCTGCAACCATCTGTGCAATGCAAAAATTATGTAAAAAAAAAAAAAAAAAAAAAGCAGACCAGCAAATACTACTGCAAATAACCCATGATGAGAAAAGTGTCATGGAATCATAGAACAGTTTGGTTTGGAAGAGGTCCTCAAAGAAGTCCTCCAGTTCCAATCCCTCTGTCATGGGCAGGAACACCTTCTACCAGAGCAGGTTGCTCAAAGCCCTATCCAGCCTTGCCTTGAACACTTCCAGGGATGAGGCCTCCACAGCTTTTTCTGGGCAACCTGTTCCAGTGTCTCACCACTCTCACAGTAAAGAGTTTCTCCCTAATATCTAATCTAAACCTAATCTCTTTGGTTTACAGTCATTCCCCCTTGTCCTGTCACTACATGGTCTCGTGAAAAGTCCCTCTCCAGCTTTCTTGTACCTGGCCTTCAGGTACAAGAGGTGCTCCAGTGCCCCTCTGGAGCCTTCTCTTCTCCAGGCTGAATAACCCCAAATCTCTCGGCCTGTCTTCATACGAGAGATACCCCGGCCCTCTACTTGCCTTCATAATTTTGAGACTATAACTCATTTTGACTAGTCCTGAGCTTAAAAAAAAAAAAAGTGAAGAAAATAGAAAAGTATCATCAGATTGTCTCTTTTAAGTTTTAGCAGACACGAAGAATGATCTTACTTAACACGTATTTTCAGCGCTACTATGCTCATGTAGCAATTCCACCCACTTCCACATTTACTTTTGGTAAGGTAATTTTTTGATGCCCAAATAATACCAAGAGAAGCATCCTAGTGTCCATGATGGTCTTAATAATCCCATGATGGGATTAAGCACTGTAGACATAACACATTGTCATCAGCAGTATCTTCTCCACAGAATAATAGGATGAAGCAACATAATGCTATACTTTACAGCAAACCCCATACCGGATGAGCCACACAGTTGTGTTGACAGTGCTGATTAACTGCTCTACCTTGCATTTGCAAAGATTAATTTCATATGAAAGCAGCCTAATAATAGATGTTCAGACTGAGCTCTGCTATTACACAACAGGACAGTAGATTGGCCAGTAGGAGATTTGGGTCTTGTTGAGAGATAATGATGAAGACCTGTCAGTACAGCAGTTGCTCTACTTCCAAACAACCTAAAAATGCATATCCTGCTTATGCTGCTCACATGGTGAAACATGTAATATCTTCAGTGTATCTAAAGGCCACCCAGACAATCAGTGGTTTAGTCTAACCCTGCTAAAATTCCCTTTGAATACTTCTGTTTGATGCACAGTAAACCAAATCAGCTAAAAGGATGCCAGGTCTATAAACTTACTTCTGAGAGTATCTATCCATGTCTGCCTCTTTTTCAATAAAACTAAGCAGTCAATCATTCATACCCCAAATATGTACAAATAAACCTTAGTAGTCAGTATTTATAGCCTATTTTCTGTGGCAAAACTTTTAACTGAAGTGGTACTGCAGTGCTTGTATTGTGAAGGCCCTCTGCAGCACAGACTGCAACTATTAAAACTCAGACCTTATTGTTTATGTGACTTTTTTCCTTTATTCCACAGGTGTCTGAATTATTTTTCATTTCATTCCTTATGGGGTTTTGTTCCTTCCATCTCTATTCAGACGCTGCAAGGCAAGAAGGGCATCTCAGGGGTAGGACATGCTGCTCAAAACCACTCAAGGTTCAGCAGGACAGGCCATATCATTCCATTTAATTCAAATACAACACAAAACTTCAGAAGTCTGTTCCAGTTGTCAATTTTATTCAAAAGGTGTCATTTATATATTTTTAATATATAGAAATAAATATGAAAGGCCTCTACAAATATGAACACTTAAGAGAGTACCAATACTGTCCTTCATTTTTTATACTGATCTTTTAATACATAAAGGGACAAAACTGCAGCAAATAATCCACACACTTAATAAATTTTACAAAATCTCTGATAACAATGTCTGTCCAGGTCTAATAGAACCTTTTAGATTGAGCTCTCTTTTACATACATGCAAACTCAACACAAAATATGTTCAGCTTTGAGATGTTCACAACACAGACTGATGTACATTTTTATCAAGATGGACATCAAAAAAAGCATACTTAAGTTATATTTCAATGCAGGAATTTAGCATTATCATTTTTAATGATATGCTGTGTTAACAGTATTTTTGAAACACAGTCCAATAAATTAAAAGGAACACAATCTTGCCTTCAAGTAAAACCCAAGTCATTGAAAAAACTTCAGAATGGGCATTTGTTTTTAGATACCATGACACTTTCCAAAGCTTTAAAAAATTTAACACCACGTAAAATGTTTTTGGTAAAAAATAATATCATTAAGTAAGCCTTTTGCTTCCTGTGAACCACATTTGACAGACAATTTCCCATAAAGTGATATTTCTCTAACATAGGGCATCACCCACATGCAGTTATGCAATAACACTAATTTACACATTTAAAAGAGCATAAAGCAAAGTATGTGCTTAAATGGTGAGAGGAATTACTACTATATCAAATATAACTGCTCCTTCAAATGTTGGCTACTGGGTATTTTTCGGGAAGGTGTATTTTTTTTAAGAAAAGGTCACACCCCAACAATATTGAAAGGCAACCACATCATATAGCAAAAACCTCTTTTTTCTGAAGGAGTTTGTCCTCATCCCAAAACTAAAAAGTTCCCAGATGTTAATTTAAGAACTGTAGACCAAAATTCCTGGAAATTAGAAGAAATATTTCAGATATTTCCTATATGGCAAATAAAATCATAGGCTTTAGCTAAGAAAAAAATATAATTTGCTGGAAGTGCACAAAAGCCCAATCTTACATTTCTCTCCTGTTGATTCAATTATTTCCACTTAAGTATACAGAACTCCCTCTCCTTCATTATTTAACTGACATAAATAACTGTTCAAAGAATACATTTAATAGTTTATCCATATACTAAATCTTAAAGGTATTTGGGAATGCCAATTCTGTTTTTCAAAAGAGCTACCGCTTTTACAGTGTTGTAACAATTTTCTCTTTCCATCAAAATAAAGATTTTTGAGCTCATATTACTAAACAGTATTCTCATTTTTACTTCTTGATGTTCGAATGCTTGGCTCATTGTTTCAAAAGAGAATTTGTAGATTAATTGAGAAATAAATGGGATAAGTCTCTACTCATGGGCAGATATCCAATATGCCTTGGCTTGCAATAGCAGTTGTGTTGTAGGGTTCCCATCCACAGCATCAGAGTGGTTTCCATAACAAACCTCCTTGGATCACTGTAGTTCTCTAATCAATTTTCATTCCTCTGAACCCTTTCTGAGCTCACCCAGCAAAACTAAACACTTTGCAACATAGGTTTTGCAGGCACTGCTAGAGGTTCTACAGGCCAAAAGTGGTGGACTGCTTCCCAGCAGTGTGAGAGTAACAATCTCAGCAAAGTTCTCATAATGTTGTATGGCATTCATCTGGCCCACAAAACCTTCTTGCAATGATGATGGTCAAAACATTAAGACTCCAGCTCTGCACAGGGTTTGACATTCAGGTTAGAGATCCATAATGTTAGGGATGGGAGACAATAACAGACCAAAAGGAAGACAGACCATATACATAAAGGCTTGCAAGTATTATTTGGGAAAAAAAAAAAAAAAAAAANAAAAAAAAAAAAAAAACAACAAACCAAAAAACAAACAAACAAAAAAACAAAATCAACAACCCAGACACTTCCAAGGTAGGAATGCATTTATCAAAAATTAAACTTTGCCCCATTATGAATGATTTGATGTTTGGGTTCCTGAGCTTGATACTGGACAGGGGAAAGGGCAAGGGTAAGTGAATTTTACAGCAGTATCATTAGGACAGTATTTAAAACCTATTATTAGAAGAATTAATAATTTACAAATGTGACTTTAAGAATATTATAACTAAATAGTAGTTATAGAAGTTTAAGTCCAGAAGACCTTAATCGTCTTTCTTTTGTGTTTGAAATCGTTCCATTAGAGCCCTAAATATATTTCCTGGTATTTTCTGATGTTTTTCTATGAGAGCTTGGACTGCTGCTTTTGTCTGTAGGGAAAGAGAAAAGGTTTTGGTCAGAAAACTTCATCTTCATACTGCTCATATAATAACACAATTCCTAAGCTCTCTTTAATCCTTTCAAATATCACAGAACTATTGCAAGTTCAAAATATTGTTCTTCCATATTTACCCCCATAGGACATGATTGTGAGAACACTGTCAAGAAACAGACTAACAAACTGGTATCTCTTATGTGTGGTAGCTGTGTTCATAAGCTGTATTTGTGATACACAAAAGTCAAAAAACAGTAAATTCATGAAGAGACTTAGGTCTATAAAGCATGTTAAACAGCTGCATGATGTACTGCAACTCAAACTTCTACCTATGCCCAGGCTTACACCAATAACACTTTTCCAGTGGGCATCACCTTTGCTTCTACACATGCTCAGAAGCGGCACTGGAAATACCAAGCAGACTTGACTTGTACAAGGTAATGCCCTCTGGACCCAAGGCCCCTGAAGGATCTGGTCCTGTGACACATGCTCAGGCCACTTAGCTGCATGTGACAACAGACTTCACTTTCACTCAAAAAACAAACAGGCCAAGGAGTGTACAGTAGTTACTTTTATTATATAAAAGCTCTATAGGGAACATTCAAAAGGCAGGGCAACATGCAAAAGCTGTGGTGAGAACACATCTCCTATTCTGCCTAGACAATCACAGGCTAGGGAATTCTTAAGGCCTGAAACAGAAGAACAGATAATTATTTGTCTCTGTAAACCAGTGGTCAGCAAGGGCAGATGTTGGTAGAATGCTTATTGGTACAAGCTCCCATTGTTTATATGAAGTAAGTAATCAACTGTTATGTCCTTGGAGAAGGACTTCATACATCTGGTCTTAGGTGACTCTACAGATCTAAAATTTGTATTAGGTAAAAAAAATTGAGCTTTATTGTTTGCTCTATATAATGGGAAAATGCATACTGTGCCACAGCCCAAAACATGAGATACAACTTCAAAATAATCTCAATAAGATTCTAGGGAATTTGCACTCTAGGGGTTTTATCTAGCAGAATCTGAACTTAAGTCAGAAAAAAGTGAGGGTTGGCATAAATGTAAGATGTCAACACCTGTCTGAAAGTAACTTAAACACATTCTCTGCTAAAAGCCAGCAGTTTTGAAGTCTGTCATAGTGACCCCACAAAAGAAACAACCAGTGCTCCATAACCAGGGCCTAAGATATTGCAGACAAACACTTTAAGAGTCTTTTTGCAGAGACCTAATCATAGGATAAACAGGCAAAGAGAGACAACTGAACTGACACCTGCATGATCAAGAAAAGTCTCTCTCTCAAGAGAAGTTTTCAGAATATTGTAAGTGACCATCTGTGGAGTTTTCAAAAATACCTACTTCGACCCACTCCATCTCACTGCTCCACCACTTAACTGGTTTATGTCTTTGCACTGTGAAATCTATTAATAAACTGAATAAACATGAGGATCTGAAAATCCTTTCTATAAAGGCATCTAAATCTTAATTACAGGAACATTTAGAAGTTAAATTGCTGGGCTAGAAACTGGACAAAATAGAAACACACTAGACAAAGCAGTGAAATTATTTATATTTTTCTTTTATTGTATGTAATTCCAACAGTTTGTGAACATAGATTTGCTATGTTTGAAAGGCTTCCTCAGCATCTTTCTGAAAACACCGGGAAGCAGAATGCTTCCTTCTTGGTTGAAGTGCTTCTCTCTATCAACTGAGAGCTGTCTTGTCTGACCAAACTTCTTCAGTCTTTAAAGCAAATTGTTTCTCAAAGCAAATATAGGGTGCAATTAACTATAAAAGACCTAGAACATCTGCAAATTGTAGTAATAAAAATATGGTATCTAAGAACGACATTCAGACTTAGGCAAGTACAAAACTTACCATGATTCCACCAATTTCTGTAACTGGCTCCTAGACAGAAATCACTTGACAAGACTATTGCAGTGGTTTTTACAGAACAGTCGGTATTTTAAATGTACATATATAAATAACTATCTTACCTTTGCAGCTAGTTCCTCAGCAGTCATATTTGGTTCATATGGAATGGGTTCTCCAATAAATGTACGAAGCTTGACAGGAAACCCCCCGTACAGAGGAACTACTGGCAATCTAGTACGCTCATATAGTGACCTAAGTATTTCTAATGTGAAAAAATGTAGTTGAAAACAGGAGAAAGAAAGGTGGGGAAGGGAGAAGGGGAGTGGGGGAGGGTAAAGAAGGGAAGAGAGAAAGAGAAAGAGAGACACTGGGATTATTCTGTAAAGTTTTTTGTCCCCATTATGTCTGAACATTGAAACTGGCTTGCAAAGTAATATAGCTCCCAACCCAGACTCTCAAATAATGTGTCATCTCAAGTGCTATCCTACCTTGACTTTTATTTCCTAAAAGCTGCATTAATGCTTATATCAGACTTATTTCTACCCTAACTTGGTGTGAAATCTTTCTTCCAAAGAGTAGCTGAAACGAGAAGAAAGAGGAGAAAAATTCAATAGCTGCCTCTCTGGAGAGGAAGAGAATCCTATGCAATACAGGTTACAGGTTCAGCTCATTTGACAGGTTAGCATTAGAAACTAGTATTGGAAAACTACATGTCCAGTCCCACTGAGGTCTGTAGGATCAGAAATAGCCTTATCTGCCTAAAAGTCACTCATGCTAACATACTGAATTGCTCTTTCAGATCACACACTGGTAGCAGTTAAATAACATAAAAAGAGAGAAAAAACAGGTATTTCAAACAGCTCTAGGAGGACACATCCTTCTCCACATGCTGCTTCTAAGCGTTTATCCCAAATGTACCCAGAAGAGAGTCTTTGAAAAATGTGCACTAATGCTATCTTTCTCAATTTCAGACAAGAAACTCCATTAACTGGCATGCTGGCATGAGAAAATCCTTACTGCTCAAGATGTGGAATTTTCTGTACACAACCTATAAAAACAAAGACACAACTACTGAAAGTAGAGTAACACCTCCAGTGACCAAGAAATTGCACTTCTCTAGCAACTCTGCTGTAGAATGCAAGTAGCATAAATTATTTTGGCTTCAAAATTTCTTCTGTTTGGGATTCTCCTGAACACAGCAACAATTAATTGCTGTTTATTTTTGTACAACATGACAAATGTGTGAATTATTCCAGCTTCAGTATCTGATGCCTTGGCTTTCTCATACAATATATAGCATGAGTGGGAGAGAAACAGAATTGTGTTGCACTGCAGCCCTCTGATGAAGGTGATGATGCCTTACTTGAAGCAGAACATGTGGTGTGGAGACGTGTTCAGGCCCCTCTGCTAGATAGTAACTAAGAGATATAAAAAAAAAGGGAGTTTAACACCAGCAAATGAACAGAGATGTGGGCATCTAATCATCCCAGAGATGGACCCCTCAGACACAATACCCATCTATTCATGTTCAGACTGCAAGTTCCATAGAGATAAGGAAGGAGAGCTGCCAAATGCAAGGTTTTGTGAGGAACCACAGGTCTAGTGCAGAATAGAAAAGCAACTACAGATTAAATGTAGTTCAAACTTTAAGTACAGGTAGAAGTGTAAACACAGAAACTTTAGGAGAACAGGAATAATGTATTAGTTGCCAACTTGTTTGCTTTGCTTCTTAACAGACAGCAGAAACCTAGGGTTGGCCTAGCAGATATAAGCAGAGGAAAAAAGTACTTTAAATCTTCCTGCCTTTTTCTGTGTCCTTTTTTCTTTCTTCTACTTCTTGTTCAGAAGAACACTGTTATGTGGAAAATAACCTAGATGAGCTAATATCACATCTAATGATAATATTAAATCCTAGTATCTCTGAACTCTACCAGAGAGCAAACATCAAGAAACAAGGCTGTGTTAAATCTCAAATTTATATGAGGATTATTTCTACAGAGATAGGCTAAACACACATGGAAAAATAAACTACAGAAAAATAGAAAATATCTTACTTATTCCTCCTAATGTCCTAAAGCCTTCTCGGACATTTTGTGTAAACATAGGAATGATGGGCTAGGAGGGAAAAAAAATAGTTAAGAATTTAAGGAAGATAGAGCTATCTAAAAAACTTCTACCTCACTTAAACTCAACAGGCAAATTAACTTAAGAAGTGTTTCTCAGACAAGAATATATAGAGAGTAAAACAGGTATTCTGAAGTTCTTCTGTGACCTTCTGCCATGAGGTTTCAAACTGGAGAATACCACAAGATTTCAGTGAGTCACTGTTTCAACAAGTCTATCTTCTCAGAGCAGTCCAGAATTTCAGAACCTATGGAACTTTTAGGCATCCCTCTCCCCATCTAGCAGTGTTTGCACAGTTGTGACTGAAGTGCTTAAACCTCTTACCTAATTTGTAATTATGCTCAAAGGGAAGGATTCACAGGATTGGGACACTAAACTTGTCTGATTCCTCTCTGTGCTGATGGTATTGTTTCACACTTGATGTGTCATATTCAATACATGTCCATGACTTATTTCTGCTGATAAGTACTTGGAATGGTGTTGAATATTTCAAGTTTTTATTGCTGTTTTTAAAATTACAAACAGCTGTCAAGATTTACAAGAACTATGAGGGGGTCATCTACTATATAAAGTTTTTCGATAGCATTTTATAGTATGTGCCCATTGTACACAGCATCGTCATAAATACAGAACTCTTCATGGGATTTTCATGAACTCAAATTCTTTTAAACTTTTTAAAGCCAAGCATGGGGATGAGCTAGCACATGTAACTTTTCAGACATGCCTGAAGTTGGGATTTTGTGAGAGGAAAAAAAAAAGTCTGTTAATAATTACAAATAAGAAGTGCAATTGCCTATACTGAATGCATACAAATATATTTATTCTAGAACAATCTTATTTGGAACATATTACTTTTGACATAGAGGTAGAAATTTTTGTTCATATGACAGAAATTCTGGCAAAAAACCTGCTGAAATAAGACAACTTCAACAAGTTGAAGGCTCCAGTTTTAGACACATTCTTCTTTCCATGAGGAGTTCTGCTTATGATTCAAGGTGACTTAGAAGTTCATCTTTAATCTAAATAAAGATGTTTTTCCCAGTTTCAGCCTGTGTCTGACACTCTTTCTATTTTACTGCATCTCTTGGGGTTTTTTTTTAGAGGGGATGAAGCTACAAGACCCTTGTGAGTGCATAAAGGAACACACATGCAATACAATAAATGCAACTAGTACAATCATAGTTGAATCTCAAGTATGGCCTTTCACATGCTATTGTAATACATTAGTCAAATCTAAACTTGTTGAAAATACCTGTTTAAACAGTGTTATTTTCCTTGTGAGAAAAGTGATGCACACTTGGGTCTTAAAAGTATTCTATTTCTGTATAAAATCCAGAGATTTAAGTAGTTCGTCTTTGACAGTAACTAAATATAAAACTCCTGGTGTGAGACTTGCTTTTAAATTAGGTATATGCAGACCTACGGACATATGACACATCTTCCAAGTATAAATCTAGAACAAGAGTGACTCTGAAATGATTACTAAAATAGTTCAATATACTCAAATGTATCACACACTGTTGTCCCTTAACAGTTGGTCCTCTGTGAATAACTACCTGCCTGCTGACCAAGCCCTGTGCTGTACATTAGAACTGAAGAGTTCACACCAGTGACCAGCCCTGGACATCCCTCACTGCCATAAAATACCAATACAGTAGGAAGTGTCGGTGAGTCTATACCCTGCTGGTCACACCACACTTCAGTGACAGAACAAACAGACACAATGAGTTGGACTCCATGATCCTGATGGTCCCTCCCAACTCAGCACATTCTGTGACTCTGGTATGTAGGGTTGTTTCCCAACCATGCTGGTCAGGGAGGGCTAGACCATCACAATACCAACCAGGTATGTATAAAACAGCATATGCTTATAAGGAGAAACCATTCCGTATTTCATCTCTTGTTCTTTTGAACTCTGGACTTCCTAACCACACTATTCTTAGCTGATTCATAAGCCTTCTTATCTATCAAAAGTGACAAAAAGAGTCTTGAAATGTAATTGTTAGAGCAAGTAGACCATACTCATGACTGTCAGAAATCTAACATCAAATACATGATAAACAAAACAGCTTTCTCTGGAAGAAAGTACTAACAACTTAGCTTTCTTTGCTTCTCTTCCATTATGTGTCATACTTACCACTTTTGCATCAATGGCCACCTGGGCAAAGCCCTTGCGATCACTCCACAAAATAGTGTACATTTCATCACTGAAGAGTGCTTCCCGAACTCCACCTGGGGCAATGGCTAACAGATGGCCCTTCTCCAGAGTCCTGACACAAGCTTCTTTTGGTCCATGTATAACTCCCAATACCTCAAGTAGTATTCTAAAACCTGTAGGGTTAAGATAACATGAATTCTGAAAATGTTAATTCATACTACCATTGAGTACAGATTCCCAGCAAGGAACACTATGGCTAAAACTTAATTGTCTAATAAGCTGTAGTCCCCAGTCCCCAAGAGGGACTGAAGCATTAAGTCTAACTTACAGGTTTTGGTCTGCAAAGTTGAAGATTTAGGGGTTTTAGTGGCTTTTTGTCATAGTAAAGTCAAGTGTTATCCCACAGTCAGGACTAAACTGAAAAAGAACTGCCAAGCACTCTGCGATATCTTTCACATGTCCCTTTGAAGGAACTATTTGACTCAAGGGCACTGGCTCCTTGCTCTGGCTCTACTGCTCAAACATAGCACAGCCCAAATAGAGAGCAACAAGAAGCAAAACCAGGAAATAGTTGTGGTTCTGTTTTGTGAACTTCAGTAAAGAACAGTAGTGCATAAGAAGGAGAATAAAAAAGAAAATGCATTGTTCTCTGCATAAGGGATCATTGCAGCAATTGACTCTGGTTCAGTCTGGATGGTATTTCATACAGAGGCATCTGGTAAGCCTCAACTGGGTACACTCACCTTCTGTTAATATTGTAAGTGAAGTTTTTGACCTAAAGTTACATAAACTCCTCTTATCACCTTGAATTTGACATGTCACTCAGACTGTACTCCTCAAGAGACAGAATATGAAAAATTTGCTACAAGCATCAAAAGGAAAACATCTGATCAATTTAGACAATTAACCTATCATTAAAGAACATAACTACTACAGACCTCTGTTTGCACGAAGTAAGTCCTGTTTGGTTGGTTCAATAGATTTTAAACCTTATGTTTTATGAGTAGTGTAGTAGCAGTACCAAAATGGTAACTTTGGATGACTGGGTGGTAAGGAAAACATTACTTCTCTTTCTTGAAGTTTCCCATTGAAGCAAACAACCTTATCAGCCACAAAGAACTGATCTAGTTAAGTTCGCCTCTTAATAACAAATGAATAGCTGTGACTATGAACACACATTTGCTACATACACACACATACTTGCTAAAGGAGAGAGCAAACAAAGTTAAGAATACAGAGGTCTGTCTTCTCTTATAGCTTGCATAAACTAAGGGCTTGGGAAGAAAAGCATGAGGCAAGACATTATTAGTTTATTCTTAACTAAACTCTGATCTCTAACTAGTCTTTTTATCTGGTGTGAGTATAATTACTCCCAACTCATCTCTATACCCAATCAGGATCTGTCCATACACATGGCCACAGAACACACGCTGCATTACACCTGTCTCATATTTTGCTGTGCCTGCCTCACACACTGCTGATGACACTCAGTTTTCATCAAGTAGCATTTGCATGGGAGAACACCTGAAACAGAGTTTACCTAATTGAAATTAATTTCTTTCAGGTGCTTTTTTTTTGTGGGATTTTCAATAGCTGATTTTTACAATGCTTGATATTTCCAAACTAATTGAAGCTCTCTGGAATGTACCTGGTGGTAAAAAGCTGTCTGTCTCTAAGTACTTTCTGTTAGTGAGCTCAGGAGACAGACAAAACAGTCATGAAAAGGGTTGAGATGAGCAGGAAAAGAGACTCCAAGGAAGCAAAGACTGTGACAACACTGTTTCTGCATTGGATACACTGAGGAAGGGATGAGGGGGAGGTTGTGTGTGACAAAGCAAACACCATGAGTCAGTCCAGTTCATATACCAGTAAAAAAAATAACAGAATATTGACAGAATACAGACAAAAAAAAAAAATGTACTACAGAATAGTTGTCCAGGGAGGTTTTAAGTCCTCACAAAATTTCTCAGCTGTATTTCCTCTCTTGACTTTTAGTATCAACTTTATATTCTGAGCTGTACTTCACAGCCCTGCCAGCAGATCACACATTACTATTGATATCTGTGCTTCAGTACCAAAGAAGTACCTGGCTCCCTTAAAGCAGCTGAGAGACAGAATCTGACACAATGGCCCAGAAAGGACAGCCAGGGTACCTGTGTCCAAGGCAAAGGTCACCAGAAAGTTAGAAGAAACACTGGGGTAGTACCAGGTAGCACTGCATGAAAGGAATCAAGAATCTGTTTTTCCATTTTAAACAAAAACAACTCTCAGAATTATCTAAACACAATTTTTCAGCCATGCAGAACATGTTCTTCCAGACACCAAGAAGTTCAAACTTAATTTTATTCCACGGTTCAACCTGAACTCTGCCCTTTGCCCCAGCATACTTTTCTCCTATTTTCCACAAGGCTGTATGGGCAGAAATGTTTGAAAACCCTTTGGAGAGTACCCAGTAAAGCATGTAACACTGTTTTCAATTTGTGCACTATGTACATTTTTCTATCTTGACCATAACATCACGGCTGTCAGCTGCTGGATAGCAGGATGGCACGGATGTCATAATTTTCCCATGGTTGACCTTTAGGACCCCAGATAGAGAGGAACCATTCAGATTATTGAATCCAACTTTCCATAACTGTAGATAATCACACAAATATATCTGCAGAGCATCCAGTCCACAAGATACTTTGCAATATCTTGTGCATGTAAGATGCCAAAGGTCCTTTCCTCTGGAACATTACAGGAAAGGGACTGTCTTAGTCACATAAAATAACAGGCAACCATTTAAAGAGGGCTTTCAAATGACTTAAGGAAGCAAAAATGGCCCATACTATAGCAGAGGATGATGGAGAAGAACACAAGTGAAATCTCAATCCTCTCTGAATGCTTTGGGAAAAGACTTTCTCCTAAACTTAGAGAAATTAATGTTTTTCTGAACACTACACAGCTAAGAGTCTAAAGGAACCAGAAAGCTGGAATACTGAGTTTGTTTTTCCCTGTGGCTAACCTCTAGTTATAAAAGAAGGAAAAAAGAATTTACATGACCATATTTCATATCCTTCTTCTCCAAAAATGCAAGAAAAGCATACTTAATACTGACACAACTCTGACACATCCGTATGTGTCTAACAGACTCCGTAAATGCACCACCATCCCTTCCCATTTCCCCTACATTGAGCACAACTTTGGTTAAAACATCTTCTGAAAAGCACCCAATTTAATCTGAACACTTAATCAAGATCAGACAGCCTTAGTATTAGGATAAAATTACACAGTCTTTCTGGTTTGATTCACAAGGGAAGCAACATCTACCCAAGTTGCCAGTCATAGATTACTGTGCTTATTTTGAAACAATCCACAACATTTTCTGGGCTCTTTGGACTTGTCTCCCTGAACAGCCTTAATTCCTTCACAGAATCAGAGAATTATGTAGATTAGAAGGAAGCTCTGGAGGTCATTTAGTCCAGCCTCCCACTCAAAGCGGGTTCAACTAGATCAGGCTATTCAGAGCCCCACCCAGTGGAGTTTTGAAAGTCTGCAAGATGGAGATTCCTCAACTTGCCTAAGCAATCTGTTCAGGTGTCTGATCTCTCTCATGGTAAAATACCTTTCCACATGTCTAATCAAAATTTCCTGTGTTGCAACTTGTTTCTGTTACTTCTCAATCTATCACTGTGCACCTGTGAGCAGAGTCTGACTCCCTCTTGTCCCCACCCTCCCACTAGGTCGCTGAAGACAGTAATAGTATCTTTCCCCACCCTTATCTGGAACACACCAAACAAATCCAGTTCTCTCATCCTCTCCTTGTACACTGTGTGCTCCAGATCCCCATCATCCACTGATGACCTTGTACGAGGGAGTCCAAAACTGGACACCATGTCACAGGATGTGCTTGCACAGGTGCCATACCAAAGGAAAAAAATTTCTTCACTACTGTAGCACTATTCATGCTACAAAAAGCTCACCATGCAGTTCATCTTTGCTGTAAGGGCACATTGCCAACTCACATCCAGCTTGTTGTCCACTAGAATCCTAAGTCCTTTTTTATCCAGAGATCAGTTGCACAGAATTGCTCTATCCCAGATGCACAAATCTACATTTGCTTTTGTTGAACTTCATAATATTTTACCAGTTGAATTCTATGAAGTCATTCTGAGAACAAGCTTTAATGCCCAGTATATCAGCAGCTTCCCCAGTTTGGTACCATCAGTGAATTTCCTGTGCAAGCTCCAGGTCCTCATCCAGGGATACTATAAAAACTCTAAGCAGCAGTGGCCTCAGTATCATTCCCTGAGGAATGCCCGTAGCTGTTAGCTAGATGTTGTACCGCTAAAACCAGTTCTTCAAGATCAGCCATTCAGCAAGATATTTCTGCAATGCTACTGAATGATATTTGGGGGACTCATAAGTATACTCCCACTTAGAGCCTTATTTTTAAGCAGAAAAGGAGTAAAACATAATGCCCCATTTGATAAACATCTGTGCCTACAAAGACACAATATGGAGTCAAATCTGCATCACAAAGTAGGTTATATTAGACATATGTATGCAAAAGATTTGATAACCACTGATAAATGAATCTGTTGGCAAAAGCAGTTGTAGAGGCAAAGCCATACTGTAATCAGTATGAAAAAGTTCTTTTCAGGGACTAAGGCTGAAATAAATCTATACCAACAAAAAGATTTTCCTACATGAGTTGGTCCTACTAACAGCACCAGTACACTACAGAATGCTGCTTGTCATTCATTTTGTGAATTGATAGGCCTTTAATCACAAACCAAACTTGAGAAAGAAAGAGGGTACTACTGTATTTCACAAAGACAAAAAAACAAACCCATCACATAATAATTTCACCAACTGGCAGTGCATTTCACTAGGCTACTCAGCCAAAATCTTGCCCTAAACGTGTTTTTCATTTTCTACCTGCTTCACCTCAAGTCTCACACAAACATGTTGAACACTTCTCTAGCTTTCCTCCAAAACAGATTCTACTTGAAACAGTCTTCCTGGGCACGGGTACCACTGCCAGCCAGCCTCAACTGGCAAAGAGTTGGGTGGGATAAGAAAATGCATTGTCTCTCCAGACTAGTATTCAACTTCAATATGCAACTTACAGGGTATTTTTTCTAAACAAGTTTGATTTTTAATCAGTTCACACCACTCATTCTGCCTATGTTAATGTCTTATTGAAATCTTTGCTAATGATTTATACAGAGAACGCTGCTTCTTCTACAATCTCCTTCTCTTTGTTTCTAAACACCCTAGAGTCATTGGAAGGTGTTGCCTTAGCAGGACTATGTCCTATCCTTGCATAGACCAGTCTCACTCCTGTTTGTAAAGAACATGCTCAGTTTCAAAACTTGCACTAAATTTGTCTGAATGTCTGTTCTGAAAGCTGTGCTCCTGCAACACGGTTTTTATTAATTACACAATTAAAAAATTAAAATAAAAATTCCAAAACTGCTTGCTTATAATGAAGTATGTTACCTGGTAATCTAAAGACAAAATGATCAGCTACTACGCTGCAGCACCTCTTCTTCATTACATGAAGTCTAGCTGAGAAATAGATATAGTCAACGGGAGTAGCTCCATGATAAAACACAACAAGTCCTGGTCCTTGAGGAATATTTTCAACACCATGCAGCTCATAACCTGTTAGGAGTTAAAAATGTAACAGATGTTAAATTTTTATACAATTGTATCCCAAATAAACTAACTTGCAGCAAGCTGGCAAACTGAAACCAACATGGATTGACAAGTGGTTAGAGCAAACTGACCAATGACAAGTCAAGAGCTAACTTGCAGTATCTACAAGAAGTACAAGTTGCTTCATAGAGAATACAAGTTTCATTTAAGGTACCACACAGAAAAAGAGCAAAAAAACCCAACATTAAAACAAAACACCCAGTTGCACTATTTCAAACTGTATCATTTATCCTTATTTTTTCAGTTCACTATTTTCAGGGCTGCAAAGTCCTCAGAATCAATCATTCAAGAGAAATCAAAATACGGACTGGAGTGGAGAAACAACTATTTCAAGCTATTATTAATCTCTCAAAGTTCATTACCATCAGTGATTGTTTTAGAAGATTTGACATGACAGCACCCACTTTCATGTCTCCTTTTACTCCAGGACATGTAGCTTATCTTTGCTACTTCTCTCCAAGTTACACCTGTTTTAGCTTTCCATCACTATATACTAAAAGCTAGTTGGGACTATATATATCTAGCTGCAAAATACATAAACACACATAAGCTTCTTCCTGACCTCACATTTCTGTTCAAGTTACAGGGCATAATACATTTAATTAACACAAAAGGCATCAGTATAGAACATACTAAGTTAACACCCAGTAGTACTGTTAACAATCAAAAACAAAACACAGAAAAAAAACCCTCAACCAAATCCTGTTACTTCTTCCAAAGAAGGTCTGCAATTCTTATTCCATTAATTTAAATCTGAAGTTAACTCTTGGCTCTTCTCCCTCTGTTTTACTTTGTATGCCTGTGGAGCTGCAACACATTGCAAGTGTGTCCCATCCCAAGGGACCACTAACTGTGTTGAAGCCAGCAATTGACACACATGGCATTGGCATAATACATGTAAAGTTACAGGTATCAATCACCAGGTTTGGGCGTTGGTTTGGGGCTTTTAAGTTGTAGGGTTGTTTTTTTATTAATGCTGTTAGATTTCAGGATGGAAAGTTGTTCTTATGATATCCTGATCAATCAAGTGGGGGAAAAAATAACTGGAAAACGTTTAATTCTTTAGCAAGACAAGTGTATAGATAAGAGGGAAGCAGCTGGCAGGGCAGAAAAAAGTCACAGCTCTCAATAAGGGACCGGATAAGAATCTTCTTGCACAAATAAAATGTCAGTCCTTATAAAAAGGAAAAGTTACTAAGGATTAAAAGAGCCAAAGCCTTAAAAAATAATTTTCTTGTGAAAAAAAAGTAAATAACTTTTTATTGTGAAGTGAGCATTTTAAGCTCTTTGATGTAGCAGTTGATTTTGATGTAGTGTAGTTTCCTAGATTTGAAAGTTACATCTTAGTCTTACAAAGCCCATCTGATACAGCTGCTGCACCATCTGGTTATCAATGCCTTGAAAACCCGCTTCCCTTTGACTAGAGAACAAATAGAGATGATTTTCAAGGATTTATTCTTTATGTAAATTGTTCTTAAGTATTTCTTTCTCCTTTAGCTGCATCTAGACTGAATTCTCTGAAAGAGACTTACGATTTCCTTAGAGGGAAAAGCCAAATCATTTATTAAGTCTGTCTTTATAAAGAAATAATAGCAGAAGGACAAAGAACAGGGCCCTTAGTTTTGACATTCTAGTAGAGAAAGTAGCAGTCAAAAATATAAAGATAAATAAAAAAGTAGAGTTCTGTAACACTGTCAGGGTCTGAAGGTAATTTCAAGAAGCAACTAAATGCTCCTTTTAGCCGTCATTTGGCATTTCATGTAAGACTGGTTAAGTGAAATTAAATTATGCTAACGTGCTGGCTGACACACTAGCTATCAAGAAACTGGCATTTAACTTCTAGTCTTCACATATTAACCCTGAAATGATACAATTAATTGATCTAGTTTTTAACACAACACATATTTCTGGTCTTCCTCAAATGAGGAAATCCAGGAATTGTTACAAAAAGCAAAAAATGGAAAAAAAGGCACTTAAAAAAATTTTGCATATATTCAACCAGAACAGAGATGTCACTTTATAGCAGCAAAGGAATAAATGCATACGACAAAAAACTTACATTCAAAAAAGTCTCAATGTCCTTTTTTTTTTTCTCAAGCATCACTGACTCATGAACCAAAAAAAAAAAAACTGGCCTGAATTGGCATGCACCAGCAGCAACAATCAGGCATATCTTGATAATCTTGAAAGCTAAATGAGGAATAAGAGCTTCAGAATTTTTTAATGGAAGGTCAGATCTCACTTACCATGCCATATTCTCCCATGTCCATCCCATATGGTTGCCAACATTTCTCTTGCACCTATCCAAACATCATGGGAATAAGCTTCCTTTATTTCATTCTTCCTTTTATAAATATGAAGCCAGAGGATGGAAACATAGAAGAGAATGACAATAACTCCTGGAAGTACAAAGACTACTACAAGTGGAAAAAGCAACCATAGAATGTAGAATACGTAACTCAGATAATCTCCGATATCCTCCACACCAGTCCATTCTTCCAGAATGTAAGTCAGGCAAGTTAAATAGGACATAGATGTTGGTCCTGCAGTACAGGATTCATTTCCACCTGTCATCTCCTGTTTAAAATAAAATTTTAAAAAAATATATTAATAAATCTTCCAAAAATATAGATCTGCCTATACTGTTTAATCATATAATTAACCTCTCTGATGCATTTTATTCATATACCATCTACCCCACATCCCAGCAGTACCTAATAGAAACATAACAGTTCACACTGTTAACTTTTAAGTCATAACAGTTCACACTGTTAACTCACACACAGCAAAACTTTTACTCGATCTTTATAGTCCTTTTCTTTTAGGTACTGGAAATGCTGACAATTCTAATGGAGAAAGATGGTGCAATTGCTTAATTTCAGACTAGGATTTTATATCATTGAAAATTGCACAACTTGCACAGACCCAGAACATTTATACTGTTACCAATACCAACTAATACTGAATTTTTGAATTTCAGAAAGTGGAATTGATTAGTCTAATTTATTGTTACAATAAAATAAAACCTTCTCTCAAGCACTAACTACAACAGGAAAAAACACAATCTCAAATCCAGTGCTTTAAGAAAAACCTACTCACTATAACCCTAGAACATCTCAGGAAGAAGATTCTCTCACATAAGAAAGTCTCAGCCCTGGAAACATCTTAATTTGTATCCAGAAATTCACTAATAGCGACATATCAAGAACCAAAGCACAACACAGAGACAGCAGAAAAGACAAAAGGGAAAAGAGTTCACAAAAGTCCCCTTAGGAGTTTTAACTGCTCTGACTTTACTGTGTCTAAGAATCTCTCCACTCCAATGCCTGCTCCTAAAAAGTTACCAGCCCACAGAAGTCAAGCCTGCAACTTCAGGCTTACTGTAACTCTGGAGAAACATTTTTTTCTTAGCTTTGTACAATTTAAGGGACAACTTGCTATTCACTTCACCTTACAAATACAGGACAGCCTGAATGCTTGGCTATTTTAGTGCTTGAACAGCAAACCTAGTACTTCTGGGTACAAAAATTATTCTAGGCTAGAAAAAAATGGTTGATCAATATCCCAAGTTCTGCTAGTCAGGACCAAGAAGAAAAAAATGTTGCAACTGTAAAATAGGCTTGTAGAGAAAAAATGGAAGAACAGCATTTCTAAAAATGAAACTAATCTAAGTTTCGAGTTGCTGTGTTTTGTTTATTAGAATGTGACTTACAGCAGGTATGACTGCAAAGCTCCTATGCCCAGACAAACATGTATGCCTAATATTCCTTTATCTTGCTCTGTTTTTACAAGAAACAAGAGACCAAAATATAGAAGAAAATATTGCTTTCAGAACACTGGTGACAACAAAAATTACACAGCAGATCAGTTTTACTCCACATTTGTTAAGGAACATTGAAACACATACTAGAGTAGAACTCATTTCACTTATTTTCCTATCTGAATTTTCCCTCAGTTTATGAGAGAGCAAGGATGTCCATTTTCCTTTGGTTTTGGAAATTGGCCTCTACCCACATTAGTCAAGATAACTAGCTCCTATTAATGAGAAAAAAGCTGATCTTTGCTCCCACAATCCATGGCTGTTCCAAACTAATTCAGGCTTACAACATTTTGCTCCTCAGCATGTTCTTGAGGACAAGTGTGACGGGCAGCCAATTCATCTCCAGCCACGTATAAGCACATAGGATTAGTGACATGCCCTCCACTGAATTCATGAACCTGTCTTTGTGGTGTGAATTAGGGGGAAAGAGTGTGTGGGAGAGCAAGAGAAAGTTCTTTTTCATTCTAGTTGCCAGAGGTGAACTCCAGAACCTGTCAGGCAGCAAACACCCACAGCAAGTATAGGAAACACAACTTGTGAGACCAAGCAAGATTTAGGAGTAGTATTCAACACCACAATCAGTCTGTTATGCCTGGACTTCTCCAATGGCTTCAGCTACTACCTAGAGAACAATATGGAGCATGGGTTATGGCACAGAAGCATTTTTTCCAAAACTGAGATGTGATTATGTAGCTTAAAAGAAGGCTTATAGCTTTCTCTCCCACTTATTATATACTTTAAATGGTTTATGGCTTTCCCCAAACCCTCCATCAAGTAAATTTAAAGTCCTGTTCACACATGTCAGTCTTGCAAAATATTACGTGTCCTTTTGCCTGTAATGTTCAGTGCAATACTTCAAATGCAATCATCACAGTTTTTAAAGTTTACTTGCATATCTGTGTGCTAACCTGCAACAGAAACTAAGACCTAACATATTCTGTGTTACCAGCCACAGAGGTAAGAGCTAAGGCACTGACCTTCCTTAGGAATAGTCAAATCTACCCTGAACAATGCTGCTTCCTCATCTTGAGGAGCATCACAGGATAATTGATACTAGAAGTTATACTGTCCAACCTCTTCCTAACTAGCCAATTAATTCAGGTTGCTCAATGACATATCCAGTCCAGTCTATCCAGTAGTATCTCCATGGACAGACATCCCACAGCTTCTTTGGTCACCTAATCCAGTGCTTGAATACCTTCATGGTGCAAATACTTTTCTTTATTTTAGTTCTAGAGCTCCCCTTATACCTTGTGTCTGTTGCCTCCTGTCCCTTTGCTGTGAAGATTCTACTTCCCACATTCGTTTAGAGCAGCAGTAAGGTCATCACAATGTGGGTACTATGGCAGTGAAGAAGGGAAGGCAGATTATGATCCAAAAAAAGCCTGCAAGTTCCACACTGAACACAGGTTCAACATAGTTCTTGCATGCCACTAACAAACAACAACACTGGTCTGTTCCAGCTTGCTGTTGAGCAGTTCAAAATACACATTTTTAAGTTCTAAGTTGCTAATGCAGCAGCTTACATTTTTCATTAGTTCACAAAGACACAATTTCCCATTTGACTAACAGCGCACACCAACTTATGCTTACACTTCAAGCTTTATGATGTGGAAACAAGACTAACACACAATTTCTGTCACTGATTTCTAGCACATGACCCAGAAAGTCCTTAACTAAACTACAACGGAGGCCTTCAGCTGCAGTCAGGAGATGCTGGGGCAACTGAGACCCTACTGATCAGGATAGGAGCGATTACAGCCAGCAGCACGCTCCGCTGTAAACGACACACGGCACGATTTCGGCATGCATATGCAATGTGCAAGTGAAACCTCTGGAGGACAGCCCAGTGTTTCCAAACTAGAAAGACGCTGCGAAGCAGCAGCTACGACACGTCCCTGCCAAGAGAAACACACGGCTACGGAGGGCGTTCCTACCTCAATTAGCACTGCCATTACACGCACAGCAAAAAAAAAAAAAACAAAACAAACCAAAAATACCAGAAGACTCTGACAATGCTGCTAATGTCACCTACGACAGGAGAGACATAGAAGTCGGAAGATGGTTTAGCCCTTGTTTCGGCCCAGGAACTGGGCGGGCTCCCGTGCCGGCCGGTCAGGTTCCTTCAGCCGGAGCGGGTCGGGGCTCGCTCCGGGCAAGCAGGACACGGCCCCGGCCCGGCTGCCCCACGGAGCGGCCCCGGCTCCCATCGCTCCGCCCGCAGCCCCGGTGGCTAAGGCAAGGCCCCGAGCTCGCCGGTGACCGGGGCCACCACGGCGAGTCACCTCCCGCCCAGGCACCCGCGGGGCGGCGGCGGGGCCAGGCCCGGGCCGGACCCTCCACCCGCCCGGCAGCGCCCGCTCACCTTGCCCTGGCGGCGGCGGGACCGGCTCCGGCCCCGCGTCCCTGCCGGGGCCCGGTTTTACTCTCCGCCCGCCGCCCCCGCGGAGGCCGGGTGCCCGCGGGGCGGCCGGGCCGGGGCGGTCCCGGCGGCGCGGCGGGGGCGGGCGGGCGCCCTGCGGAGCGGGGCCGGCGGCGGGGGCGCGCAGGGCCGCGGGAACTCCGCGCCGCCGGGGGCGCGGCAGCCGCCCGGACCCGCGTGCGGCACGCACCGCCCGCCGCTTCCGCCGCGGCGGCACGGCCTGGGCGCCGCCAGGGGGCGCGCGTTCCCCGCGAGCGGGCGGGGCGGGGCGGCGGAGGGCGCCGCCTGGCGGCGCGGGTAGCAGCCCGGAACCACGGAATTCCTGAGGGGATTGGGCTGGGAAAGACCTCCGAGATCATGGAGACCAACCTATGACCGAACACCGGCTGGACAGCTGGACCGCAGCACTGACTGCCACGTCCAGCCTTTCCTTAAACACCTCCAGAGACTCCACCACGCCCTGGACAGCCCATTCCAATGTCTAATCTGCGGAGAAATCCCTCCTCATGTCCCACCTAAACCTCCCCTGGTGCAGCTGGAGACTGTGTCCTCTCATGATGTCACTGCTTGCCTGGGGAAAGAGGCGGAATCCCAACCGGCTGCAACCTCGTCTCAGGGAGTTGCGGAGATTGATAAAGTCACCCCTGAGTCTCTATTTCTCCAGATTAAACAACCCCAGCTCCAGGCACCCACTGTCCCCCCTCCTGCCTGTGCATACCCAGCCGCCCCTTCCTCGGTACCTCCAGCTGGCTGCAGTCCTCCTTCTCCAACCCCGCCGGTGTTGCCACAGCAGCAGCAGCAGCAGCATCCATACCTGGTACCCACTGCAGTACCTCAGCCTTCAGACACTGTGGTGCGGACACGGCATTCACGGCGCTGTTACAGCATTTCTGACTGCCCAAGAGCTGTGGATGTAATCCCTGGATTTACATATAAAAAATTAAAAAAAGGAAAAAAAAATCAGTCAAAGAAGTAAGTAGTGTTCCAGTGACACTGGATGCAGCTCCAAATGCATGGGTATTGATGCATATACCCTACCTGCTAGGATGGCATGGAACACTGCCATGGCTGCGCCCTCAGCCTTTGGTGGGATGAACTTGGCCAGTTCTTCCAAATCCCCTCCTGCTGTGCCCTTCTGACCAGTTCTCTTCTACACGTACATCATCTCCCTGTTGGACATCTGCAGCTGCTCAGCTGAGCAGTTGCACACAGTTTGCCATGTAACTGTTTCCATTGTCTTCCAATTAATAAATGTGCAGTTGTACACGCTCTTTACTGTGTAACTGCTTCCACTGTCATCCAATTAATTAATTGGTCACAGCCCCAAGCCTGCCAGAGCTCAAGAGGAATTTGGACAGGCACATGGTGTGACTCTTGTGGCTGTCCTGTGGAGGGCCAGGAGCTGGAGCTTGATGATACTTCTGGGTGCTTTCCAATTCCAGATATTCTATGATTCTATGGTTTTATTCATTTACTGTGTTATCAGTATCATATTCTTCCCCAATGCAAAATCTTGTAGCTTGAGCTGGTTAAACCTTACACACAAAAAGCTACAAAAACAGATTTTTCCTGCATTATTTACTGGGAAAAATATACCTAACAAAAGTAATAAATACTCTTTTCATTTTGAGGCAGGCACAGGTCTTTTGCTGGTTTTCATTTCTTTTTCTGTTGTATGATGGAGAGGCTAAAAAATAAATGCACCAAGGGAGTGATTTCATCTGCAATTACATTTCTATTTGTATGACAAGAACTCTAATTTCTCTAAAACCAGTTTTTAGTTGTAGTTTCTAGAATATTGCTGTAAAAAGAGTAAAAATCTAGAGTGTGTCACTAAAATAATATAACAGCTTATTATTACAGCAGTACTATAATGTCTGTGGAAAAATTGTTTACAATTTTTTATTAGTAAAATAACATAGATCATTCAAAATCTCTCGTTTCTCAGTAACAATTTAGTCTATCATCTTGAGATCCTGGAAAATACTCTTAGACAACTGTGACAGGAGACAACAAATATAAATTATTTTTTACCTAGAGAAGCTGCACAGTGGTGCTGCTAGAAGATGTAATAGCCCAGTAAAAACTTAAACCTTGTTAGAAAATATAAACAGCTGCTGAAATAGAGGAGATAGATGTCATCCAGAACTCTAACAGATAGAGACAGAAATATCTGCTTTGAAAGATAATTAACACACTGATTACATATCTCCTGCCCAAGGTTAGTGCTCCATTGTGAGTTGCAGCACAGCTCCTAGCATCATGTATCAGAGAGCATGGAATTTGAAAGGTTGTGCAAATTCTGATTACTAAAGTGGTCACAGAATCAGAATCGTTAAGTTGGAAAGGAAGTTCAAGACCATTGAGTCCAAACAATAACCTAAGTCTGCCTAGCCCACTACAAAACCATATCCACAAGTGCCACATCTTCTAAATGCCTCCTGGAATGGTGACTTCACCACTGCCCTGGGCAGCCTGTTCCAATGATTGACAACCCTCTCAGTGAAAAAATTTTGACTGATATCCAATCTAAACCTTTCCCAGCACAGCTTCCTTTTCCTCTTGTTCTGTCCCTTGCTACCTGGGAGTAGAAACCAACTCCCACCTGGCCACAACCATGCTTTCAGGTAAGGTGTTGGTCCCCACATAGGCTCCTTTTCTCCAGGCTAAACAACCCCACTGCCCTCAGATTTTCCTCATAAGACTTGCGCTCCAGACCCTTTACTAGCTTCACTGCCCTTCTTTGGACACATTCCATAATGGTATAAATGTACTTGAAAAACAGGATAGTCAGACAATGATTCTGTCTAGTCCTTCTACAGTTTCTGCAATACAAAGAAAGCCTTCAGACTCAGGTTACTTCTAATTCCTCTTGCTTCTTCATCTGTGTCCATTTTAGTATTCTATAACCTTTTCCTTTAGTTCCTTTTCTCCCTTGAAAGCTCAGGCTTTGAATTTTAGCTTGTATCACTGCAGTGCAGCATGTAAGACTTCATGGTTTGAATACCTGCTTATGTCCAGGCATATCAGTCTGCATCTTGATCTGCTTAGTTCATCATCTCCTATGCATGCTGAGTCTCTGCTGGGAGAAAAATCTTTCTGCCTGTATACTGCAGTTAGAGTTAAGGTGTTCAAGTAAAGATGCCTGAATCTTAAGACAGATTTGAGGGTTGACAGGATTCCTGTCTTTTTGGTCCAGGGAAATAACTCACCAGTCCATCCTTCTCCCTTCACCAGATGTGCAAGAAATACTTGTGAAGAGGCAGAGTCAGGGAAGAATTTATTTTAATCCAATGAGCAGATTTAGTTTTCTACTGAAAAATGGGCAAACATTACATATATTTCCTTAGATGCTATGTAACCTTTTAGGATGTTGAAAGATTATATACATATTAAACGTACATGAAGGAAAATGAGGCACAAAAAATACCTATCTTGGTCTTTGAAGTTAAGACTTGGTTGCATTTAGTGGCCTATTCAATAGATTACATAAAGTTGTCCCACTCCCACCAGTAACAACATCCTGTAAAAACACAGCCTGTAAAAACACATTCTGCTTTGTACTAACTTTCAGTTTTCCACAAGTTGCATTAGGAAGACAAGACTGCCTTTCCAAACAGGATTTTGGTTCAATGTGTACCGGCAGTGTTGCAGAACTGCATTTTTAGGCAAACCACCAATGATGATAAGCCTCAAAGATGCATTGCCTGAGAAAGCTCCCCCTGAGCCTGTTCACTGGGAGATTTGAGTAAATACAGGACAACCATACTGCACACACCATATCCAGGGGTTTTCAGGCTGGGGCAGCCTCATCCACTGAACAGCTATGGTGTGGTGCAATAGAGCATGCACAAACCAGATCAGACTTGAAACTACTTTCTACATGTATTTGCAATATTTGCTACACTGAACTAAAGCTTTTTTTCCCCTCTCTTTGAGAGACCTTTTTCCGTGGGGAAGAATTCTTGGATGCAAACAGTTCTGCTTTCCAGGGTACGCACTAGTAAGCTGATGTGTTTGAAGGAGTCTAACATCCGTTTTAATGGGATTGTTTCTTTTTGTAGTCTGTAGGAGAATGGTGTAAGCAGTAGCTGATTATCTAAAGCAAGACAGTTTGTTCTGACATGTCTTCCTTGGGGTCATCAGGGAAGGTGCCCCCCATGAGGTGGTCTCTGGTGGGACAACACCAGCCCTGAGGCCCTGCTCTCAGACCAGACTGTACTCAAAGCACAAACGCACAGATCTAGACAACACCACTAAAGCTCTTGGATATAAGTACAAACTTGTTTTAGCAACCAGGAAAATCTTGGCTGCATGATTTCTGTCAGGGGAATTTAGCTGATGCATTGCTATTATACATATGTAATCTTCATCAATCTTTCTTATTTCAGGATATTCTCAAAGATATGGGGTAACTTTCAAGAGGTTAATTGTTTTCTTCCACCAAATCTGTTGAAATTTGTAATTTAAACTGGTTAACACTGTCACCAGTGCTGTAGGACATTGTTTTTTACTGTATGCTGTAAAACCAATGCAATAAACATGAGCATTCTAATCACTTTTATGACGTTTATCAAATCTCTCCAGTAAAGCCTTCCATATGTTGCCTGGGATTGTTTGGTGCTTGCTTATGAGAGCCTGGACAGCAGTCTTTGTCTGAAAAGAAAAGAGAAATTTGCCTTCACAGATCTATTTTATGCATGGAAGAAAAGTATAATCACTAACTTCTCAGAGGTTCAAGAGGGAAAATTCACACATAGCTCTACTGTAAGAAAAAAAAATTGTTGTTTATATTAACTAGCTGTCCTAACGACATATTTCTTGGAATAGAAAGGAGCAAAAACAATGACTGCATTTTGGGTAGGCTCCAACTATTGAGATTTATCAAATGTGGTCATTACTTAGTCAAAGTAGCCTTTAACACTTGAAAACATTAAGTTTCTGCAATCCCCCATCCCTGAAAATGTTCATCAAAAAATGACAGATAAAGCCTGACTCACCTCATCTGATCTTATTGCTGACCTATCACGGACAAGGAATTTGGAGTAGGAACCTCTACTGTTGTCTGTTCTTCCCAACATGAATTTTCCCATCATTTTATCATATACACTATGCACATAATAAGAAAATTCATAATACTCTTTACATAAGAGTCAAACGCAAGTTTAGGAAGAGAATGAATATAATATTCTACTTCTTATTTCTAAAGTAAATAAGAAATTATCTACTTTTGTTTTACTTTGTGTATTTAAACTTGAAATAAGGGTAGCTACATACTCCATTGATCTACCCCAGAGTTACAGTAGAACATCCCTGTGAATATAATAAAAGAGTAGCTGAACCTTTCCTGATAGATTCATGTCCTATCTCCTTTGCAGGGCAGGATCAGACAAAGGTCAGCCAGGCCACTGCTCACCTTAAACCTCATTTAAATTACCTTTTTTTAAAGTAATATCAGCCACAGAAGACCTAACTGTACTCCCACCAAAGTGGGTGGTGGTCAAAGGGGCAGCCAAACACATGCCTTAGTAAGGTAAATCAATATAATGGGAAATTTCAATTTCACTTTTGCAGGTACACAAAATACTGTTCCCCTAAAATACAATAATATAAATAGCCATAACGGCAGTCACATTGCTTCCAGCCTCCTAAAGGTGTTAAGAGTAAACTACAGCTCGCTGGGGCTGTTCCCTTGTAACAGACCAAACCTGTCTTTTTGGTTTCACTTTTGTGAAGCTCAGCACAACCTGTAGTAGACCCTTGAAAAAGGATAAAAGAAAACAAAAGAAGAAAAGCCAGCCTTGTTTGAAAAAAGAAAAGCCAGCATCTTTTTGGGGGCAGCAAGGTGTTTTTTAGTAAGTGATTTCTGAGAGCTGATTTGTTTGTGTATTTCTAGGTGGTAGCAGATTTTTTTTCTCGTAAAATCCTCCTTTCATCTTCTGTAAAAAATTTTAAACCTATACTTTCAGTTTAGCTTTATATTTTGAAAAATGCTTAAACTCTGGATCTATAAATACTTTTATGCTCTTGGGCATCATTAATTTCACCAAACTGTAGGTATTCGACATATTTTTATATTTTGGATTCAACTTTTTAACATTTTCACTTTGACAATGAAACTGAAGCTCTTGAAGAACTTTGCTTCTAGACCCCTATGCTATTTGGTGAAGATTCTCAAAGTTATTTGCTATTGATTAAATTTATTTTCATAGTTACTGAAAACTGCATTTAAAACATAATTTACATCATTTCAAAATTAATATCAAAGTTATCAAAGGCATGGGAGAAACAAAGTTAACAAGGAGACAGAGCTCATACATTTGGAAAAGATGAGGGCATCCAAATCAACTCTTACTATGCCAATATTTACTGGCAGGTATTTGTACATTAAATGATCCCAAACCTCAACTGCCCATAGCATATAATAAAGACAGTAATAAAGACAAAGCATATTTGTCTTTATTCAAGCATGCAAAAAACTGCACCTATAGTACAGAGCAAAGTATGTAGTTCAGTATTGCAAGGAGAGAGAACTTACCTTTTCAGCTAATTCTTCTGCAGTTATATTTGGGTCATAAGGGATTGGCTTCCCAATGTATGTGCGAAATTTAACTGGAAGTCCTCCATACGGAGGAGTAAAAGGCAATCGAGTGCTTTCATATAACTGTCTAAAAAATCCTGAAATGGTTTATGGGAGAAAAAAGTGAGATTATAGTCACAGTAAACACAATTCAAACATTAATCTGATTCATGTAGAATTCTTCTTATAAATCCATGCTTTATATGATAGTTAGGAAGTTACATGATTGAAGCAATTGTCCACCAAAACAAAGCTTGATAGACTTAATAGAGCAGAGAAATAAGTCTGCATTAAAGAACTAAGTCACACAAACCAGTTATGTAAAGCTATTTCCAAATTTGAGCTACCTCTGACTCCCAGCAAGTGTTAGAGAATCCAAGTAAGCAGAAGTCTGAAAAGCAAAATCTAAGATAAAAGCAAGAGAAATCTGAGAGAAAGAGATAAAACATTCAAAATACATGAAAAATATTTTTAAGTTCTTACTTCTTTCTTTAAACATCCTATAGCCTTCACGGACATTTTGAGTATACATTGGAATGATGGGCTAAAGAAGTAGAAAAAGAAATAAAAAGGTGGAAATGTTATACCAGGTTTGAATTTCTGATGTAGTTCTTGTTAATGCAGCTAAGAAAATCACTCAAATACAGGGGGTAATTACCAGTCAGTTAAGTAGTAAACAAGGAATCTTGATTTTAAAAACTCCAGAATAGAAATAAAATGCTATTTTTCAGCTGCCATAAACATCTGTTTTAAAGTCACTATCTGTAAATAAAATGACTGACATTGTCTGTGTTACATATTTACTGCAATATCACTGACTGGAACATAAAACAAATTTCCATGGTTTCTTTGTCTAAAGCTTTCATCATGAGTGGTGAATAGGGAAGTATTGAGTTTGTGAAGTCTTGCAGAAAGCAAGCAGACATTCATGGCTGGCTCATCTCATCTGCTTCTCAAATAGGGTCTAACTGAAGCAGTAATGTTTGGATAAAACTTCACTGGAAAAGACTTCTCCAGATCCCTGGGACAAAAAGAGGCAATTGTGTGTCCTCACTGACCTGGACTACACCTTCTGGCGGGCGGATCCTTAGGCACTTACAGAACAAGTTCACTTCATCATTGTGACTGAGAAGAGACACGCTTGAGATACCTGCTTGAAACAGTCATGCCTTACAGCCTGAGGTTGGATTGTGTAGTTTGTAGACAGATTGACAGTAGTTGTATCCATATATACAAAGACTTTTTTCTCCTCTATTGTCCCTTTTCCTTTTTCTGAAATTTTAGTTTGAACAGGTTGTTGGAACAACTTGTCCAGAAGGTAATGAAGGAAGACTTTTGTGCTGCTAAGAATCACTACCACAGAACAGAAGCTGCAGGATGAGAAAAAAACAAGCAAGAAAAAGACCTAACTAACTCACAGTGATAGAAAGCATTAAAAGGAAAAAATACCTGAGAGAGAGAAAAAGTATCAAACATGCATAAAGCTATAATAGTAAACCTTTCAGAATGCAAAATTAAGAGAAATTATTAGAAATAAACCCTTAAAAAGTAATCACTAATTTCTTCTAAAAATATATAAGTACTGGACACTAAAAATAACATACTTTGTTTCAGCTGTTATTTGAATACTGTACATCTAAGACCTAAAATATTTGAAACCTATCTGTCACACAGACAAAACACTTTAAATTTTAGGAATAGTACAAGAGAAACATATGGTAGTCTATAAAGAAATCTGGCAACTACAGAAGTTACTCTCATACAACAATCAGCAACTGAGGTGAAGGGTAGGGAGCAACATTCAATCCCTAAGCTGGAAAACACAGGTATGCACATAAAATCTTATATTTTTAAAAGAGCACAACCAGACCTGCAGTAACCAACACATTTATACTTGCTGTGCTGGAACTAAGCAGGATCATCCCCAGCCAGCTTGAAAATCACAGAATTACAGGATATTAGAGGTTGGAAGAGACCTCTGGAGATCACGTAGTTCAAACCCCTTGCCCATACAAGAGAATTTTATAAATCATTGTTCCTGTTTATTTTTCACCTAACTCAACTTGAAGGATTTTTTTTGGCACAGATAAAATTCAGGGAGCTTCAGAAATTATCATTCCTCCCCATTAGCCAGTTAAAACCAAGCCATAGACAGAGTATTTCTGAAAGTCATGGATTAATTTGACTGAGACAAATACATATCCCAGAGGTACACTGAGTCATAACATTAAACAGCAACACTCTCTGACTCCTGTTAAGCAGAGTAGTTGCACAAAATGAAAGGGAAACAAATGTGGAAACTTTACAGATAAGTACTGAGGCTGAAACTACCTTCCTTGTTTGCTTTTCTTCAACTTTTCTGGGGCTGAACTGTTGAACTTCTGTAATATTGTATGATGGATGGGAATGTCTATTCATATATAAAGTAGGTTTTGTCTTGAAATCCCCATTCAAGTAATCTGCGACAGGTTATAAACCACCATATAGTCATTTTATAAAGTGTGTGTAGTTCTTTGGTTAAGGGCTACACTGTATGGAGAAAATTTTTTATAATACCCTTATAATTCTATCTTGCTTTTATTAATGATATCTGAATAACTATTAGCAAATTTATATTAATTGCTACATAATAGAACAAGTTCTGATATCTGGATGAGTCTACCCCCAGTGTACTTTGTTTTTGTGGCCAGATTTTGGTAGAGGGGGAGCTACAGGGGTGGCTTCTATGAGAAGCTGGCAGAAGCTTTCCCCATGTCTGGCAGAGCCAGTGTCAGCCAGGATGGATTAGCTGCGTGCCAAGGCCAAGCCCATCAGGAATGATCATAACACCTCTGTGGTAACATATTTAAGAAGGAAAATATTTATTGTGCATATGTAATTGCAGAGAGAACAGGGTGAGAAAATGTGAGAGGAACAGCCCTGCAAACACCAAGGTCAGTGCAGGAGGAAGTGCAGGAGGTGCTCCAGAGCAGAGATTCCCCTGCAGCCCATGGTGAGGCAGCTGTGCCCCTGCAGCCCATGTAAGACGATAGCAATGGAGAGATCCAGCTGCAGCCCATAGAGGAGGCCCACACCAGAGCATGGGTGCCTGAAAGAGGGCTGTGTAGCTGTAGAAAAGTGCTGGAGCAGGCTCCTGGCAGTGATCTGCAGACCCATGGAGAGAGAAGCCCACAGAGCAGGTTTCCTGGAAGGGACTTGTGACCCTGAGGGGGACCCTCTTCTGGAGCAGGCTGTGCCTGGAGGACTGCACCCTGTGGAAGAGTGATTCATGTTCATGGAGAATCTGTTGCCCAGGGGACGGACTCAATTTGAAGTTTATCTCCTGTGGTATGGACCCCATGCTAGAACAGGAGAAGGACTCCTCTCTGAGCAGTGGCAGAAACTACATGTGATGAACTGGCCATGACCCCCATTCCCCATCTGCCTGTGCCACTGCAGGGAAGGAGGTAGAGCCAAGGAAGAAGGGAGAGGTGGGGCAAGAGGCGGTTTTAAGACTTATTTTACTTCTCATTGTCATGCTCTGATTTTGTTGCCAATAAATGCAATTAATATCCCTAAGTTGAGTCTGGTTTGCCCATAATGGTATTCAGTGAGTGATTTTTCCCAGTCCTTATCTCCGCTCATGAATCTTTTGCTTTATTTTCTCTCCCCTGTCCACTTGCGGAGGGCAGTGAGAGAGCCTTTGATGGGTGCCTGGCATCCACCACACCCCAGTCTTTGGTCAGCCAGGAAGACTAATCTGGCCAGTATTGAAAAGGATGCAGCTGGAACAAATAACCAAATTTGAAATGTGTCAAAAGATGAGATCCAGTGACTACTGTGGACCTAACTTTATGTAATATTCCCCCTCTACTCTTAAATGCACAGTGTTTTTTAAGTGTTTAGTTATCTAAGGTTTGCCTGATTCCAGACTCCCAGAGAAATATCAATGATGCCCAAAGTTCAGTGAAGCTTGCAAGCTAATTACAGCAACATCTGCCATACAGGGATCTAGTCAGACTTCCCAATCATAAAAAACCTCAAGACCCTTTCACACTGCAAGAACCTTACCCTCAAAGAATACCCAATTCAATAAATAAAATTTTAAAAACCCCCATCAAAAACCAAACACAAATTTGGTCAAGAAAAGGAGGTAACAATTTTATGTGCTACTGTTCAGGTATTTCCATGTGCTTCTATATTATGGAAGACTAATAGAATTAGGAAAATTACTGGCAAGGATTCTTGTGATGCGTTTTGATCAGGGTGTCAATCTATGTAAGGGCACTCAGTTTTTAATTCAATTTCTATTTAAAAATCCACAACTTGTTACATTTCATTACTGTAAAGTTCCAGGTGAAGGGAGAACATCTGGCAAAGGTTTGTCCAGATGTTTGGAGTAGCTTGAAAGACAGATGAAAGAAAAATCAATAGAAATCTCTCGAGTTTTTTAAGTGACAACTCTTTCTGTTTCAGCATATTATTCATTTAATACATAAGAAGACTATTAGGGAACTCAAGATGCCCATAGGAATTTGACTGAGTTTATCCCATTCACATTCTGGTACTTTCCCAGTAGTGGTGGTGTACAGGCCCACACAGTATGTGAAGTATTATGACTAACATTTACCTTTTTGGAAAAAAGGGATGGGAAAGGGAGCAGAAGCACATAAAACCTAAAAGGCCATATAAGACAATATGTGGAAACAAGATTCCAGGCCTAAAATTATTTTATCCATTGGGTAAATGCCCCTAAGTTTATTCTAGTATTTAATTATCTCCTCACAATAATTTAGAGATAGATTTATGAAGAAATATTAACCTGAAGCATGCATTTTGCAACTTCAGATCCTTTCTACTAGGAGCCATAGCACAAGTGACCAAAACAAAGTTTGAGAAGCAACAAATCAGATGAAGTGCAAAAGAGATATAACTACACAAAAGGAATGTTAAGAAATTAAAGTTTCATGAGAAGAACTCAACTCCCTATACAGCTTCTCCTATATAGACAGAAAGCTTTATGTAGAAGATCAAAGGGCACTGCAAGTGATGAGATATTCATTAGAATGTGAGGAAAAAGTGATGGTTGTGCAGTTCATGAGAAAGCAGCAGAAAGTGCCGAACAGATGAAGCTGGATTTGCACCAGTATTGTCAGACACAAAAATCACTAGGTATGGTAAGTCTAAATTAAGGCAGAAAACTTGTGTCTAGATGTGGTGATGATGATGGGGAGTGGCAGTTAGAAAAAAGACAGGTTTGCTGCTCTTTCAGCTTCATGCCAAATAAAATAATTTCCCAGAGACTGCATCACAGTCTCCCAAGTATATTTAGCTATAAGAAGTCACAGCTAATCACAGAAGTTTGCATTTGTAGATCATCCATATGGAAACTAACTGAAACCTTGGCCATGAGTACATAGATGGAGTGCAAATCAAGAGAAGTGCACATCTAGAGGATGCTGAGACTATGACATCCACACTGAACACATTTCAGTGTGCTGTTTTTATCTAGAACTAATTCTTGTTTGGCACCATTGGCTGAAGACCATTTGACACTGGAGTATTAGGTTCCAATTTTGGTTTAGTTTCAGCCAGAAGGAATGCAGCTTCAGTATTCTAACATGTTCCTTGATATGAATGAAAGCATGGTGAGAGAAATACACAAATTACTTCAAAAGTGCCCACGATTCAAACTCAGACACTGATGTAGATACACCTTAAGTTAGTTGATGCAATCTTCCACAAACATGAAGAAAAGTAAAGGTAAATGAGAAGAAAGATAAGGATAATGCATTAAAGAGCCATAAGAAAATTACTAGATATGTGAAAGATAAAGATGCAAATCTATTAGGATAGGAAAAAATAATGAAACCTTAGGACAGTATGGAGAAGGACCACAGTGAAGATTTCTGAAATAAAGTCAAGATGAAACACTGGATGCCTGCATGATGGAACTGTAGACATAGAACCACAGAGATAGATGCTTTGAAACAGTAAGAAAAATCTTGACAGTTCCACAAAACTCTTGCTCCTTGTAAATGAATGTGCTCGAGGAAAGTGATGGGGAAAGGAAATGAAATCTTCATTTCCCACCCATTTCCTCTGGAAGATTTTCCAACAAATGCTCCTAAGCTGCATTTTTTAATGAAGCAGATATGCAGACAGCACAGACTGGGATTGGTAACATACGGCACTCACCACTTTTGCTTCTAAAGCGACCTGAGCAAAGCCTTTTCGATTTCCCCACACGAGCTGATAGCTTTCGTCACTGAACAGAGCTTCTCGAACTCCACCTGGCGAGATGGACACCAAGTACCCATTCTTCAGGGCACCAAGACACTCCTCCCTCGTACCTGGTATAACACCCGTCACTGCCAACAATAATCTGAGTCCTGAAATAAATAAGGAGCAAATGTACATTTAATATAACAATATATGTTTGCAGCATCAGATTACAGCTAAATTAAAATCTAGTAACTATATATTTAGGCTAAGACATATTTTTATAAAGGAAGTAAGACACATATAGAGTAAATGCTGGCAAAATTATAAATACATGACAATATTTTTGACCAAATATTATGACGTTTAACAATCTTGTCAGGAACATTTAAATTAAAAAATGCTTCCACATCCTATCTTTCATAATTATCAATCAAATTATGTAAACAAAACTTGTATGTCATAGCTAGAAATCAGAAAATAAGCACCTATTCCTCTCTCCTTCTTTTTATATATTTTAATACAGAAAAAATAATCAGTACAATAAAGATTACTACAAAAATAAATACCTGACAAGCTACTATTTTGGTCTTCTTTTAAAATATGATGTTTAGCATTTTAAAGATTGAGGTTTTGAGTTGTTTAATTGAGTATTTTGTGGTTAAATTGCAAACTATGTGGATCAAACTGAACGGCTTTAAGACTCTCAAGATGCATGAATGAAAGAAACTAGCAGGGCTATTTCAGCACCACATGAATAAATTCACCACAGCAAATCTCCTTCCTCTATTTCCATAACTGGGATTTCTCTAAAAGACAGAGCCATAGGAGTGCTCTATGCTTGCTAATATTATCTTGATATTTCAAATATATCAGTTTGGAACTCTGATAGAAAGCAAACAAGCATTTCCACAAAATTCAAGTTCCCTGTTCAAAGAGCATAGTTTGAAAATATTTTTTTTTTATATTAATAAATGGAAGCAACAACTCTGGACTGACAGAGGTCTGCAACAAAAACTTTGGAAAACAATAGGTAACACAGTGCTGAATCCTGTAATTTAATTGTATTTAATCTTATTCAAGGTATCATAATTGATAAATCTTTCTGTCAAAGACAGATGTTGACTTTGTTTAAACTTTTTGTGAACTCATTTCTGTTTCATCCTCAAGTCAGGAATGCCATATTGTTATTAAGCCAAGCCATTTGCTTGGCTTTAAAACTTTTGAGAATTATAATATTTCACGTGAAAGTATTACTACTTCTTATTCCCCTTTTCTAGGTCTCATGGAATTTTTTAAACTTCAGTGATGCAAGGCTTCTGTCTGATGTCCTAGCTCTTCAAGGGAAGCCATGCCACACCTCTGAATCATCCTTGTCCTTTTATTTTTGTAATTTTATTACTTAAGCAGCTAATACTTTATTACTAACAGCTATTCTGAGATAGAGTTATTAATTCACAAGAAGAATTCTCCTGTAACTGCAATTAATCCTGTAAATAAACTGAACTGAGGTCCAGCTCATGAGCATTTTTTAAAGAACCAGTCTGGGAAGTGTAACATTTCTTTGCAAAAAGTAAGCATAGTAGAGCAAAAGAAGGTTAGAGAGGAATTTCACTTTTAGCCACATCTTCTGCTAATGCAGTGAGGAGGTCTAACTTCAATTATTTAAAGTCTTTCTTAGCAGATGTCCTTTTACAGCCTTTTTGAAGGCTAACACAGCATTTGACACATTTTGTTGCTCTAGCATGAACATAATGAAATCAATATGTTATGTACACACCAGTAGTCCAGGAATTGCACAGCTGGGAGCGTTGCTTAGTCTTAATAAATGTGTATTTTATATTTGTAATAAAAATCTGTGCTAAGGACACTTCAATTTGAACAGTACCCTCTTATTTAACCCTTAAGAAAGGAGTCTGCTTTGCAATGTTTTGCTAAACTCTCTCTTTTTGTGAGGGTACTCTTAAAAGCCAATCATCATTTGATGACTTCTTACTTCTCATGTACTCACTCAGTACTACACAGTATTTACTAAATAGGACTTAAAATTATTGTAATCTTTCTAGGAGTGCCTGAATATGGTTTTAGCATCAAATTTACTGGAGTTTATAATACTTGTTTTCAGGAAAACTTTGTTTTCCAAATAGTGTCCTTCTAAATAGCTTCCTCTATTGTCTATTATTAAAACAGCTTTCAATATTAGTGGCATAAAGGTGCCTTTAAATAATTCCCCTACTATTCCTTCTGGATGATCTTCTTTATGGCTTGTTTTTCTAAAATTGAATTATCTTTGCTTCTCTGTATCTTCTCCTGACCAGTCAGCACTAGGTCAATAGTAGATTCCTATCCAGCACTTTCTACTGAGGGATGACATTCCATCCCAAAAGGATAATGTGTCTATTTGTTGACTTTGGAGGGTTTACAAATGTTTTCACTGAAAAGATAGGATATGCTACTCTGTTTGTCCTCTTACATCTACCAACTTTTAGTTAAAAAATCTAAAAGTAGTCTTCTAGTTTAAAAGTTCTCTTGCAACTATAGGAAATGTAAAGTTCACCAGTTAGGTGAATTCAGGAACCTTAAATACAAGAGAACACATTCTTACCTGGTAAACGAAACACAAAATGATCAGCTACTGACAGGCAAAGTCTTCTCTTCCACAGAAACAGTCTAGACAAAAAGTAAAGGTAATCTATAGGAATAGCTCCATGGTAATACACAAGAATGCCTGGTCCTTCTGGGAGGTTTTTCACACCATGAAGCTCATAACCTGTTTGGGATGGAAAGCAATACACTGTCAATGATACCTGTAAATCATCTGACAGTTTAGAGAAAACTTGTTACTTTGTAAAGTGACCTTCAGAGACGTGTGAAAGCCTCTGTAGTAGCTTTCAAAATAATTAATTCTGGATGGATCTTTTGGTCAATAGCACAGAGAAAGTCCCTCAGACACCACAGCACAGTAGACTGATTTGTTGGTCAGTTTAATCATGAGATCAGACCTGCACCTGACATTTTTCTTAGTGAGGGAACTCAAACTATTATTTCCCATTAGGAACTTCTTGTAAATAGTACAATAATAATACTTTTTAAAAAAAATTAGTAACTAGTGTGAAAATGCTTCATTTTCAGAAATAGTGGCCAGCAGTCTGGATACTTTCCTGAAATCTGGAAGTATGACTCTCCATTCTGTGTCAATGAAAGTGAAGAGTTCGGGATTTTCCATAATAAAGTGTTCCTCTTTTAGAGAAGTTGAGATTTTTAACTTGAAACCATAATCTTTAAGAATCCCAAAAAGAGGTTCTCTCCCCAAGAGTTAAATATATTCACTTCACAGCGGGAGGGAATTTCCTCACAGACATGCACTTCTATTAATCCTTGTCATGATTCTTCCTACATTTGGTTCAGGTTTCAGGTGGAGCCAGATTAGAAGCTAATGTATATAAAGGCTTGGGAAAGACACAGCTTTTGCCAACTAAGAATTCTGCTCCACCTTGTCTGCCTTCATTTCCATCCCTGCTACAGCTCCTGCCATGAGCCATTTGGATGGGATGGGAGTAGACGGAGTCCTAGGAGCACATGGAGAAAGTTTTATACTGCAGGTTGTTCAAAGAAGCCATACAAAGTATAATAAATGTAACTTACTTGATTTCATATGGAAGAAAAAATGAAAACTTCTGTGTTTTTACCATTTACTGTAATTCAATGCTTCAGACAAATCATGTTGTACTTACCGTGCCATACTCTTGCATATATATCCCAAAAGCTTGCTATAGTTTTTCTTACACGATTCCAAACATCACTCAAGGGATCTGCTTTTAACTCATTGTTCCTCTGATATATTAAAAGCAAAATATTAGTAAGGTAAATGAAAACGACAATTGTTAAAGGAACTATAAAAAAAACTAATATTGCACTGATTGTCAGTGAGGCAATGATCAGATGAAAAAAGTATTTCTTCAGGAACTCCACAACAGTCCATTCTTCCAGAGCATAGAAAAGGAAGCTGAGGCTGGTCATTGGTAACTGTCCTGAAGCACAGGATTCTTGTCTGCCTATCTTGTCCTGCATGGAGGAAAAAAAAAAAAAAAAAAAAAAAAAAAAAAAAAAAAAAAAAAAAAAAAAAAAAAAAAAAAAAAAAAACAAAAAATAAAGGAAAAAAAACCAAACCAGCTGTAGTTTCTTAATTTATGAAAACAGGTTTCTGTAAATACACCTGATCCTTATTTTGGTACAGCACAGGTTCAAACATTTTGTGTCTCTCTGTCATGCTAAGATAGCTGCTGACTAGGAGATTGTCCACATATTTATGGAATAGGGGCTGAAACAAGAAGGACTGGAGCTCAACAAAGCCTCAGGATCCCTGCAACATGGCTGATCAGATGATTTCTCTCAGAAGAGAGTAAGTGGATGGTATTTTAGCAGGGGAGTGTGCAGCTGAAGGGACAGCAGCAAAACCAAGGCAGTCATGGCTTCTTCACAAGGTCTGGAAGTCTGGGACAACACTTGGTACTGCTGCTAACACCAGGAAAAGCAGCTTTTCACCCCTCATCCATACAACACATCTTTCTTTCAGATGTTCCAGCCCTAGCAAAGTCCAGGAGAGCTCCATGGTATGTTTTCCACATGCAACTCCCTAGTTTGTCCATTCCTACAGCTGACCCTGCCTGCCTGACAGCAGGCAGTGGTTACACTGGAATGCAAGAGCACTCCAGCATCACTGGCTGCTTCAAAGATTCTTGAGAATTAGCCAGAGATTTAAACATTGCAATCCAGCTCACTAATCCATAACTGAATACAGATTTTCTTTGCCTCAGTCAGGTTGCTACTTGTTTAATGAGCTCCACTACCAGAACAAGTACCTACAAGAAACAGATCATAAGTGCCAAAGTCAGCGCCAGGATCAGAAAATACAGCAAGCTCAGACTTCTCTGACTTTACTTGCTCAGTGGGGTACTTATATGAGCAAACCTGCTGTACACTTCTGTTTCCCTTCTTTGAAGCTTTGGGTAGAATTTAGGGGTGAACTGGCATAAGGCACAGCTCCCTTCAGAATTACAGATGACAAGGAGTCAAACAGCAAAAGTGGAAAGCAGACATGAACAAGCATTAGAGTCTAACATGCATCAAGGCAGGCAAGCCCCATGACAAACCCTGCAGAATGAGTAGCTGCAGTAGATATACATTTGGTCTCACACAACCCAATGAAACCTGTCCTTATCTGAAACCCTTTGAATTCCACATTGGCCACCAAAAAGGACCACTTGGTTTAACCCCAGTAGGCAGCTGAGCACCACACAGCCACTCACTCGCTCCCCACTGCAGTGAGATGGGTGAGAGAATCAGAAGATTAGAAGTGCAAAAACTCTTGGTTTAAGATAAAGGCAGTTTCATAGGTAGAACACAAGCTGCAAGGATAGCAAACAAAACGCAAGCAAGCACTGTGTTAAAAGATGCTCAATGTGGTAAAAACAAATTAAATCAGTATGATAAAATGTAACAAGAATTAATATAGAATTGTTTATATCCTGATGACTGGTGCCTCACTAAGTTATAGGAAAATCCAGATATTTTTACTGAAAAGAGATTTTACCACTAACATGAAAGAAAAAAAGTAATATCTGTTTAGACAGTGTTTAAGGAGGATAAAATTGATGGTGTGGTGCTACTCTATAGTAAGTTATTGTTTATAAAGTCCTGATAAGAGCAAGGACTACAAATCCTCAATGTATGCAAAGCTCTATGCTGACAGAGCCCAGGTGAAGGCCATGTTAAGGGGGCTTGCCTCAGGCTACTGAATCAGAAATACTGAGCAGTATTTGGAATAATTTGTTCAGCCTGCAACACAGAGTGAAGAAAGTGAGTAGATTTTGTATTGCTATTGGGTGTTCAGATCTGGAACACAGACTACTACAGCCAGCAGCAAAAGTGTTTAAAATCACAGATAAAATATCTATATCCATAACAAGTGAATCAATAATAAACTCTATATGATATGGGGATTAATTTGGATATACAGATCACTGATGAACAAGAGATCATATAATCTACCAACAAGATTTAAGATGATTCCAAAGTCCCCAAGCACAAGTAATCGCAGACTGAACAGCCAGATAAACTTCTGGCAAGATAACTGAGAAGCTGGTAACTGATGCCACTCATTCTTATTTTGCGGGAAACAGACCTTGTAAACAAATTCACTTCCATTCTTTGAAGACATTAGAGGTTGAATAGCTTGTACAGGTTTCATGCACATATAGTTTTAACAGCTTCTTAAAGAGTCACTTTAAGTCACACATGAGCTGCTACTTGAAAGTCATCCTTCCACCAGTGCTTCACTCTATGTTCCTACCCCAGACTGCTCTCCCTCAGCATCTCCTGTCTCCCTGCTAAAGGGATGACATTGAAAATGCTGGCACAAGCAAAATTGCTCTTGGGAACAGCCCAAACTTAGGTTGGCATATGGGTGTTATGCATGTATATTACAAATGCTACTTGACATTCTTATTAAGAAATAAATTTCTTTGACATGGAGCACATATGCAAAGAATGATGTCATTGACTAGCGTGACAACAAAGTATCCATCAGTGGTCGACTCTCTACCAAATAAGAACTGAATCTTGGTCCTACATTATTCAGCATTTTCAGAATTTTCTTCTAATATTAATAGGATGTTTATATTGATCAGTTTTAACAATGTAATATTCCACCGATTCCTCTTTCGCCAACCCAATTGCTATGTAGCAGAAAATTACTTGCTAGCTGGAAAACCACTATCCTTAACTTTGTTAGCTCACAGACTACAATATAAATTAACATTCCATTAATTTCTGATTTTAAGCTCAATATAGACACCAGAAAAGAAAGCTTTACAAAGAAGGCAAATTGCAGCAATGTGCAAAATCGTATTTTTTTAAAACCTATAAAACAGATTTAACATTACAGATTTGGCCAAAGATATCTGAAAGTAGCTGTGTATGTACAGGGTTCCTGTATATACACGCCTTCCACCAATAAGCTGGATGGGTGGGATGCAAGTTAATTCAACATCATTCCAGCTGAATCCAAGGGTATAAAAAGAATAAATGATTGACTGATTGAGGAAAAACTAGAAGCAGCATAGCTTCTTCTGGAAATTGGGTACTCAACCATGGTTCAGTTACTGCTGTCACAGTTCAGTTGCAGACTACCTCCAATATTTCATAAGAAAAGAATGAATTCCAATCACTGAAATCTGGATCCTGGTATTTGGACTATATGATGCAAACCCAACATGGTAAATGCATCCCTCTACTGTCAGTATATCAAGGGGCTACAGCAGGACAGGACATAATTTTTTCCATGTTCTGCTGGCTATGTCTCTCCAGTCCCCTGTAGAAACCCCAAATACAATTTTGAACCAGCCTTTCTATCAAACACCATATATGAAATTATTATAATTGTATGAGTGCCTATTGCAAGCCTGTTACTAACAATCTCCTTGATTATGCACTAGGAGATAGTGCAGGAGTACTACCACAAAGTAAACACATTTATTTATAATGGCTTTGATTCGCCCCAAATGTCAAATTTAAGAGAGACATTTCTCTTCTGCTTTTATCAAACCTGAGCCAGGAGCATCTCCAACATATTTCAATAATGAATATAATCTAAAAGGTTAACAAGTGATTATAGTGTCATATTATTTAACAAAAATATCCAAACAAACATTTTTTAAATTCTCTACATTTTTCTTATCTTATCTAGTGATGAACTTGAAGTTACTGTTCTGAGTGATTTCATTGTTCTTATAGAGAATAACTTGTGTGTTGACATGTGAGGTATTTGGGCTCCACCTCTAAAGCATATCAAATTCCAGAGTAATCACTGTATGTACAGTGTAAAATTACAGATCATGACAGAGAAAGACAGAACTACTGTCTCCCTCCTTAGAGAGGAGCTCCCCTTTCAACAAAAGTCTCCTGTAGTACAAGTTGTTCAGATCCTAAGGTCTTGCTGAAGCATCATTTACTGATAAGGATAATCTTACCAACACTATAATCCCAGGGAAGAACAAAGCTGTCACAAGAGACTTATTACATTAAAATTAAAACCTTGTAGCTGGCTTTCAGTCATGACTGAAGAGTCATAATCTTGGTCCTGCTCACTAGCTTGCTCTTGGCAATAAGTTTAGCACAGTAAGAAGATGTTTTACACAGAAGCAAGTGTAAGGTAACTGAAGAGTCTCGGAGAGAGAATTTTTTGACACTTGCTTTCTTGTGGCAGGCGCCTACTCTTTGCTCAAACTCAATTGTTCTGTTTCATGAGGACAATCATCTAACAGTTACAATTCTGCATTTTGCTTTTCAGTGTAAATGAAATTCCAGTTTTATATTTCTTAGAGATTTTGTAGCAGTTCCATGGAAAATAATTCTCCTGCTGGTCTCACCTGGCCACCATCCACATTATTTATCTCCATAAATCCACCCATCTTGTACCCTCCTGTGTTTGTAGAGCTTCCCCCACCTTCAGCATATCCATCCCAAAAATGAACAGTCTATCCCCTCCAGACAGACACTATTGGCCATTACAGTCCTCAGCCTCCCAGAATTTTGCAGCCATTCTACCTTTTTCACACACTGAGGATGCTAAATCCAGAACACTCTTTCCCATTTACAGCTTAGCAAACATGAATAACTGAATTCCCACTTGTGTTTGATTGAGCATGTGGGTATTAGGGATTACCCCCAGCTGAGCATCCTTGCTCAGTTTGGTTTCCAGAAATGTGGCAGTTTAGAGCTAGAAGAATAAAATCATAGAATTGTTTGGGTTGGAAAGGACCTTAAAGAGCATCTGGTTTCAAACCCCCCCTGCCATGGGCCAGCGACATCTTCTAGCCCATGTTGCTCAAAGCCAAATCAACCTGACCTTCAACACTGCCAATGATGTGGCATCCACAACTGTTCTAGTGCAACCTGGTACAGTGTCTTATCATTCTCACAGTAAACTTCTTCCTGATATTTAATCTAAACTACCTTCTTTCAATTCAAAGCCATTCCCTCTTGTCCTGCTGGTTACATGCCTATGTAGAAAGTCCCTCTCCTGCCCTCTTGTAGGTCCTTTTCACACACTAAAAGGCTGAAAGGAGATTCCCAAGGCTTCCTCCTCATCAGGCTGAACAATCCCAATTCTCTCACCCTATCTTCGCAAGACAGTCCTCTGATCATCTTTGTGATCTTCCCAATACCTGTTCCAACAGGCCCATGTCTTTACTATGCTGGGTCAGCACTCCAGGTGATGGCCCACACCTGCAACAGAGTCGAGGGGCAGAATCACCTCCGTCACCCTGCTGGCCACAAGGCTTGGGATCCAGCCCAGGATGTATTTGGATTTCCTGACCTGTGAGCACACATAGTCGGGTGTACGAAGGGGGTATACAAGGAGCGGTGTCTGAGTTCAAATCTGGTACTCGTCCCGCTCAGGCACAAGTAAAACACTTCAAGTGCCCAACTTTGTATTTAACATTTGTCATTTAACTTTGTCATTTAACATTTCCAAACGTCAATACCGCGAAGACTGGGGGGTTTCCTCAATGTCTGGCGCTAAGGGCCCCTAAGAGCAGATCGTTGCTGAAGCAGGGGAGTGCTGGAACGCGGCTGGACCGGACCTGCCCCGCCACCCACCGTCCCGTCCCGTCCCGTCCCGAGCCCCCGCCCCGCTCACCTGCCCGCGGCGGCGGCGCCGTCCCGGACCCCGCGGCTGAGCCCCGTCCCGGGATAAGCGCCCCGCCGCCCCCGCAGCCGGGACCAGGAGGCGGAGCTGCGCCTGGCAGGCACAGCAGGCTCCGCGCCCAGATCTCCATGTCACTCTTCAACGATAAAAATCCCGGGACGGGCGTCGGGAGCCCCGCCTGGGCGCGCTGGGATGGAGGAGCCGCTTCCCATCGCAGGGGAACGCGGGACGCGCAGAGCCCTCTGCGCCCTTCCCTTCTTGGAAGAAAGAAGGCTCCCAGGACGTGCTTCCAGCCAATTCATGTCTGCGTTGATCGAGGAAACTTTCCGGCAGTGTCATTGACTGCTAAATTGAGAAAATGCGCTGGTTTTGCAAAGGAAATAGCCTCTTTTAAATGTCTTAGAGACTTGGGTGTCACACAGACTTGGGATATAATTGAAGCAGAACGCAGCACATGCTAATATGGCTAAATTCAGCAAAAGAAAGGTGAAATGTAATAAATACCTTTATGTAGTACTGCTGTTCACCCTCTTATATCGTGGAGGTCTTTTTTAAACTGATACAAAAAGTAGGTTTCAATTTTGAAGTTCAGGAAATAGTTAATCCAACCTGTTTAAAGCAGGTGATTGAATTTCATTGATTTGATTTGGTACAGAACAAGAAATGGGCTTCCATGAAGTAAAATGCATGACTGCAGTACATTGCTTCCCCCCATTGCAGTGCTGTAGCTGTGGTCCAGGGGAAGGGGACACAAACCTGCAAAAAAAGCATCCACCATTGATGCTTTTCTGTTGCCTTCTGGTTTTTATGGCACAAGACATATTTGTTCAGTAATGTGTTTTCTTGTGAGAGAATAAATATTCCTTGATATTCCTTGCCTAGCATGAAGCAGCAAATCATTGGAAAAGTGGTTTTGCTAGTAGACACTTTGATATAATGCAGATAGAAAGTATTTGAGAGGCAAAAGTACATTTAGATGATCAGTGCAGAGAGCAAAAGTGTTGTATGTAACACTTATCAGCACTTACCAACACTTAACAACATCAAATGTAGCTGAAATTTTTTTGTTTTGTTTGCATCTGTTTTGTTTTCTTTGTGTTTGCATGATGGTGTACTATCATCCAAAGAGTCAGGATGGAAATGCAAGAACTAAAACTACTATTGAAGAACAGAAACAGAATGGAACAGCAACATGATAATATGGATATTTAAAAATACATTGGAATAAATAGGACTGAATAGCATTGTATGAAGAAAAAAAAATGCACTGCTATCTTTGCTTTTCCTTCTCATTTTTATTCTTGAGAGTCATCTTGAAGAAAAACTGGTATGAGGCTTTTTTCAGAGTATTTTTATGAATCTGATATGGGCTTCTATCAGCAGATTTGCATATGAAGAGAGATTTCTAATGAAAGGCAAAACTACTCTGAGGAATCCATGCCATTAAATGAAATCAGAATTTAAGTATTTGGATCTCAGGGAGTGGGAAATTATAATAAATAGACACAAAATCAGCTTGGAGTTTTTAGGTAAAATAATGGTAAAAATTTTAGAAAGTTTCCAAAATTTCTAGAGATACCTGGTGTACAATGTGTATTATCATGACTATAAAGATTCTACAAGAAATGGAGCAGAAGGAACTGATTGGTATAATGAACTGTGTCATGTGAATCAGAAGCAGATGTTAAACTTAAGCTAAAAATAAAAGTAGCAATCAAGGTGAGATAAATATAAAAAGTTAATAGAGCTGAAAAAGTACTTTGCTCTAATTTTGAATTAAGGAAATGAGATGGAGAATTGGCAGATTGATCATAAAGATGAAGGAGGAGAAATAATAAAATGGAATGAAAAATCAAGATTCAGACATGGTAAGAAGAGAACCAGTACACTTTCTCAATCTATGCAAGAACAGTCTATCAGATTTCATTCCAGGCCCAGTAGTAAGGAGTTTCTAGTAGCTTTGTGGAGTTTAGAATACCAAGTGATGAAGAATAGCAAACTGAACACTTATATTTGAGAAATTAGGAATAATTAGGAGTCTCCTCTATTCTGCACTACCCAGTGTGTTCCAGACCAAAAAGTGTTAAGAAAATAGGAATTCAACATGTGGAGAAATGGTAAACTCATTTCCTTTTCTAATTGTTAATGTTGCCAGGCAGTCCTGCCAATGGCATGAGGCCATGGGAAGAGTAAATATAACCTTAGGGCTTATCTTACAATGTTCCAGGTAGGATTACTGAAGTGTTACAGCTAACATTGAAGGCATGGCTGAAATCTCTGAAATATTTTATATAATTCTATTTCTTCCTTGTTTACATACATCTATTTAGATTGAAACAAGTACAGAAAACACACCAAAGAATGAGGCAGAGAATGTGACTTTTTTAACCTACCAAAATGAAATTTAAAATGGGATATAGCTATTGCTGCTAAATAATTTTGGTAGTAAGAAGGTAAAAAAGTAACTCAGTTAAAGGTCAGTTAAAGCATAGAATAAATGAGAGTTAATGACAGTATAACTTTGGCACATTTTATATTCCAGTAATTTTTCCAGCAAGAAAAACTGAAGTTATGAATCTGTTTACAAGAGAAGTAATAGTTTCTACTGCTATTTGAAAGTTGGAAATAAATAGGTTACAGAATTTGGCAGTCCAAGTCTGGTGTTGTTTGCATGACACTCCAGGTGAGTTGTGCTGAGAGCTGGCTCCCCTTCAGCAAGGATGATTCCAGTAGAACATGGAATGATTAATCCTTTTAGTAGCTGGTCACAAGTGGTGTTCCCCAGGGTTCAGTACTGGGGTCTGTCCTTTTTAATACCTTCACGGATGACCTGATGAGGGGATTGAGAGTACCTTCACTCAGTTCACAGACAACACTAAGTTGGGCAGGTGTGTTGATCTGCTGGATAGTTGGAAGGCTCTGCAGAGAGATCTGGACTGGCTAGAACAATGGACCTAGGCCAATTTTATGAGGTTTGACAAAGCTGAGTGCTGGGTCCTGCCTTTGGGTCACAACAACCCCATCACAGCTCTACAGGCTGGGGCAGAGTGGCTGGGAAGGTGCCCAGTGCTAAAGGACCTGGGGATGCTGCTCAGCAGCTGAACATGAGCCAGGGTGTGCCCAGGTGGCCAAGGAGGCCAGTGGCATCCTGGCCTGTGTCAGCAATAGCATGGCCAGCAGGACCAGGGCAGGGATTGTCCCCTTGTACTCAACACTGCTGAGGCCATGCCTCAAGTCCTGTGATCCCTCTTCTCTAAAGCAACAAGCAAGATGAGATGGTGTCAAGTAGCACCAGGGGAGGTTATATTGGATATTAGGAAAAATTTCTTCACTGAAAAGGTTTGTCAGACACTGGAACAGGCTTCCCAGGGCAGTGGTGGCGTCACCATCGCTGGAGCAATCCTGGAGGTATTTTTTTAAAAGACAAGTAGATGTGGTGCACAGGGACATGGTTCAGTGGTGGACTTGATGGTCTCAGGTTAATGCTTGGACTAGATCATAAAGGACATTTCTGCCCTAAATTATAGTGATACTATGCTTAACATAAAATTACATCTTGTGCTTGGAGGCTATAAGGTTTCTTACAAAAAGAAACTAATTACTTGCTTAAAAAAATTCACCTCAGTCTTGCCTCTTGTCTCTTAATACTCGCTTGAGCATACATGCCAGAACCTAGACAGGATTAGCAATTGTTACAAACCCCATTCGGGAGCAATGGTGGTCTTTGTGGGTTCTTGGGATTGGATCCTATTTCAGGCAGTAATGTTGCAGGGTGATGGGAAGAGATGACTGTCTTGGAGGCCTCAATAAACTGAACTTGAATGCTTTATTTTTTTAATATTGATGTTCTAAACATATCAATCATTGATGCTAAAATGTGGGAATCAGGACAGTACCACAGATTTGGGATTATTTGCAGGCAGGCTTGGAAGTTTTAGAGATGGCTGCCAAGACAAATAGTTTTTATCTACTTGGAGAGATGTTTCACAGATAAGGAAGAAAATGAGCTTTTTCTTTAGATCCTGAAGGAAACATTCCCCAAAAACATTCTTGGAAAGCTGTTATATAGATGGAATCTGCCCTCTGTAGATGGTGTAAGAAACTATATTGCTCATGCAGGGCTATTCAGACATTAAGTGTGAAAACTCGTTCTCTTTTTTTCCTATGTAAAATGAGCAGAATCAAACCAAATTCTGCCAAGGCTCAACCTTATCCTGTGCTTCCAAATATTGCTGCTGTCCTGGAGGAAAACACAAAGTCACTTGACATTAAAATTTAGTGGTCTAAAAACTAAATCAGTTCATTTGCCTTGAAGCAGAAGATGATAATTTGAGGAACAGCACAGAGTATTTACTCCTAGAGCTCCTTCATCTAGTACCTGTGTAAGCCATCCCTCTTACATATGCAAGATCATGAAAACCAAGATTACTTTGCTGCACAAGTCTCCCCATTTCTTTTTCATACCCTCAATTTCATTCTTCTCTTCTACAGCTGTCAGTGTGGACCATCTGGCTCTAAATTCAGCATCTAACTACTGGCAGGGACAGTGGTGTCAGCCTGCAGGGCTGGAGACCTCCTAACCACTGCAGCTGGAGGTTGCAGCTTGGCAAAAGGGTATCCCTTCACTGTACCACAGGTTTGCATCCTGCCTTCTTGTCATTTGTGGTTTTCAGCACATCACTTGCTGATATGCTGACAGCAGAGATGTGACAAATCATCATGAATTTTTGGGTCTTATCCAATTTATAACAACACATGATCTCAAGCAGGTATTATCTCTTTTTTCTATATGCCTTAATATTTTGAAAGTGTCCTCTGCATTCTTTTTCAATATATGTGCACTCCACTGATGTTCATATAATTTTCCTGCCTTCCCTTTCTTTTTCACCTAATTTCAGTCTGCATTATTCTTAGTCCCTATTTCTTTCCCAGAAGCAGTTCTTAGGCTGAGATCCTCTCTCCTGCATCTCTTTTTCCATTCTCAACATAAATCTATCTCACTTGAAAAAGCCCTGCCTTGTCTCCTTCACCTTGGTTCCTAATTTCTTTG